GCGAGCCTCCGGCGTATGGAGACCCGCAGGAACTGACTTGGACTTCCAACTTGTTTGCTGTTCCATCCTTCGGCCGGCAAGATGGGGGGCGGTTTTACAGGTCCCAAGAAAAGTCCTCCATTTCATCAGGGTGACTTTTGGCTTCCTCATGCAGCTCCAAAAGGCTGGTCTTCCAGAAAAAAACAGAAGCCGGGAAAGGGGACACCCCCCATAAGTGGCTTCGTGCAGGGTTCCGAGCCATGTCCTTTTTTGGAACCTCAAGTGGCGATCAATTCAATGGGAAACCAGCCGTGGATCAATTGTTGAAAGGGAGACATGACCCCTGCTCTGTCCAATTTGCTAAGATTTCAATAGGAAGCCCAATGACTTGCTTTTCTTCTGAGACGCTTCCCAATCCTGATCAGGCCAAAGACGAATAGGGCAATAGCAGATCACAAAATGCAGAATCAAATTCTCTAAATATATATATTATAAATAAGGTCTAAATATATATTCTAAATATAGGAAAACAAATATGTATTGATAATCAGATTAATTGAAATCGGTTATTGAATTTAAAGAAATAATTATATATATATATGTTTTATATTTTAATTTTAAATTATATTAATATATAAGCAAGAATATATACATATAAATTTGTTTAAATAATTTTTATGATTATAGGGAAAAAATATAATTGGAGAAATAGATATTGAATGAATTAATATTATTATGTATTTTAAAGGAGAATATATAATCTAAATTAAGATTATTATATTGGTTAATATAAAATGAATATTTATTTTCTATTATTATAATATTTTGTTGTTATATATTTCGGAATTTTAGATTTTAAGATTTTATTTAAATTAAGGATTTGATTATATATATTTATATATATAAGTATATATATATAAAAAAATACATATTTATATATATATTAATAATATATATTTATTAATAAATCATAATTTGATTAAACTTATATATACTAATCATGGATATATTTAAAATTATTTATAGATTTAATAAATAATTTAAAATATAAATATTAAATATAATGAATATAAAATGAATTATTATATATATTAAGAAATAATAATGTAATTAAAAAAATTAAAAAATAATTTAAATATATTGAATTATTTAAATAAAACTAATATAATATTTTAATTTGATATATATATTTAATATAACAAATAACTAAATTATGTTAATTAGTTATATTGAAAAATAATATATGAGTTATTATTTTTTTTATATTTATAATTTATTATTAAGTCTAATTTAATATTGTATATATAGTTTTTTAAATAGTTATTAAAATTATATTATATTAAATACCATATGTATATTAATTACTTGATATTATTATTAGAAATTTATTTATTTTGAAATACTTATATATAATAATAAATATTATTCTTTAAATTACATAAATTATATTATGTATTAAAGAAATTAATCTAATGAAAAAGAAAACACCAATCAATATTATTATATGAATCAATAAAAATATAGAATAATATAAATATATAGATATTATATATTAAAATGATTTTGTAGAATTGAGATTCTCGGTGAAATATTGTGGTATTTTTTTGATTTAGGTGTGTTTTTAAAACAATTTAATGCAATCTCCGTTTTTAAAATGATATTAACTTATGGGAAGACAAAATATCGTTTCCCAATTCTATTTTACCGGCTATATTTTTCGAACATCTCCATTAAAATCATAAATAGAATTGCCGATTCTATTTTAAATTATTGGATATATCTATATTAGAATATATATATATAATATTTATTATTTACAAATTTTAGTTTAATATATTCTCTTATAAATCGGCAAATCAATACAGCGGTATTCCCGCCGAATCGTAATGCTTGCGGCGAACGGCTATGCTTGTCCCGGTCTTTTCTCCGCGGCACAAGTTCCCGCTTCTTCGTGCGACCCGGGAGGCCCCGAAATTTTGCCGAAATTTGGGGGGTTCTTAACAATTTTAAATAGAAATCCCGTGGCGTATCTTGGTCAAATTATCCCGAATTTTGGGTCCGGCGACGCGATTCTTAAGTTTTGGATATTACCCCGCAAATTTCTTCAAAATTTAGCGGCTTTCCGAAAAATATATCGGGAAACAGATAGAGAAACACAAGATAACCCGAGAGACACAAACACAAGAAATAGATTGGGATATATAGAGAAACACAAAGATAGACAGAGAAAAATAAAGATTACAAAATAAAATAAATATAGATACATAAAAATAAATCAATTCACAAAAATAACCCATTTCCGCGTTATTGCATGCCATATCTCTCCCTTTCAAATTCCGATTTCTTCCTTTTGTTCTATTTTTCTTTTCATTTCTAATTATTTCTATTATTGTTCTTGCTTGCTTACCCCCTCTCTTTCCTTTTTTCCTTCCTATTTTAACTCTTTATATATTTTTTTCCCCATTTTTCTTTCTTTAATGTTAGTTTTATATCCTTAATTTTTTTTTTTTTTTTTTTTTCCTTTATTTCTTTAATTTTTATTAATATTACCATTAATAAAATTAATAAATATTCTCTAATTTATTATATATTCGATATTTCTATAATTTTCTTAATATTATAATAACATTATGTATATAATGTCTTAAACAAATATAATAAGTATTTAAATTTATTAAATTAAATAAATAATATATTACTTTAAATATCTAAACTATCAAACTACCACATCAAAATCAATCTAATTATATATTTCTCATACACAAAATATTCAATATCTATAATTTTCATTTTAAAATACATCTATTCAAACAAATTTAATTAAATCTATCAAATAAATATATTCAAATCAATAATAACACATACATATATATTAGATTAAATTCCCAATCCTCCAAATTCGAACTCCAACACCCCGAACAATCCAACTCAAACCAACCCTAAATATACCCTAAACCAACCAATCCTAAATCAACATAAACCAAACCTGAACTAACCCTAAACACACCCTAAACCAATCCTAAATCAACATAAAACAACCCCTAAACTAACCCTAAATTAATCATAAAACCACCCTAAATACACCATAACCTTAGGGGGCACACTTTGTTTTTCTTCTCAAAATAATACGTATTTTATTTAGTTGTTTAAAATTCAATATATGTATTTCATTTTTGTTTTAAAAGCATATTCATGATATATATATATACATATATATATATATATATATGAAATTCAATATAGAGATTAGGACAAAAAAGAAAGATACAGGCAGAAACTGAAAGGCTCGGGCGCGCCAATTTATAAACGAATAAATTTCACAACATAACAATAGCTATAAATTGATCGATTTTGTTCACAATGGTCGGGTTTGGGATGCAGGCTTTATTGCTGCTTGCAGGCCTCGCAAAAATGCGGATGCAGCTGTGCAGGACAAGTGGGTCCAGCGCCTCTTCAGGCATGCCCCCCGTCATCTCTTTCATCATCTTCGTGAGTTCCTGGCAGAGGCCATTTGGGACATGGGAGCTTGCCGCTTGCTGCTCCTCAGGATCATCCGCGAGTTTTTTCATCAGATCCTGTCATGAGACAACGTTGACATTTCAAGGAGCGCGCGTCGCGGGCAAAGTCCTGCTCTGCGGCCGCGAGATTGGAGTCGAGGCCCATATTTTTCATCAAGTCCTCAAGTTCCAAAGGCTGGATACCCAGAAAGGTCACAAACAAAAGCATCAATGAGCTCTATGAACTGCGGTCCATGCCGAAAAGCCGAATCACGTCCAAGGAGTGGTCTGAAGGCGGGAAAGCTGAATCCAAACAGACCCTGGCTCGTGGAGAAAGCAAGCAAGAAAGACATGAATGCCTCTTGTCTCGGACGGGGCTCCCAGATTTGATTGAATTTTTGCTATATTGGTTGCTTTTAAAGGAACACGAAAAGACCTCATTTCTGGGGTGCCCTCATTTTATGCCGCTTCCTCAAACATAAATTTCAAGCTGACATACTGTGGGCGAAATCCATTTCACCACCGTTCAGAAACCCTACAAACGTTGTGGTTTCAACCCCGTGGTGCGGTCTCGGATTTCCGCACCGGCTGACCGCCCCGCCGGTTTCGGCTCCTCGAAGCTCTCGCCCCCTCCTTCTCCAACGTCTTTTGGGACAATCTGGCAACGCAGAATGCTTGTGAGCGGCGGGGAGAGGAGCGGCGGGGAGAGGAGCGGCGGGGAGGGGAGTGGAGTGGAGGGAAGGGGAGGGGAGGGGAGGGGGTGCAACTGCAAAGCTTACACGAGCCAGTCAAACATATCAAAACGCACGCCACCCAAATGAAAACGATGGAGCCCAAACCCTGCTTTGTTGCATACAGAAAGATGGAGCCGTTCAAAATACAGTTGTTCAATGGTTTGAGTGAGGTAGTGTTGAGAATGCGCCATAGCTGTAGTAACCCAATTGCACCGGCGGCAGCTTGCGGTGTGTGTGTGTATGTGTGTGTGGATGCTGTTAAGCGGAAGACGCCTGGGGCCTGATAAAGATTTACTGTCATGTTTGATCATTGGGTCTCAGGACAAATCATGTTCTTCATCATCATCGCCGTGATCATCGTCCTCTTCATCAGCATCATCATCAGCATCATCATGATCATCATCATCATCATCATCATCATCAACATCATCATCATCAGCAGCATCAGCATCAGCATCAGCATCAGCATCAGCATCAGCATCAGCAGCATCATCATCATCATCATCATCGTCATCATCGTCATCATCATCATCCTCATCCTCATCATCGCCATCCTCATCCTCATCCTCATCCTCATCATCATTGTCATCATCATCGTCATCATCATCATCGTCATCATCATCGTCATCATCGTCGCCGTCGTCATAATCATCATCATTGGTGGTGGTGCTTCCTCTATGATTTGAGTAGTCCCATGACACTGTACCGATGCTCAAGAAAGAAATGCAGGAGCGTGCCGACTCCTGGCGGAAACACAAACCACGAAACACAAACAATTTTTGAGGGCCCAAAAACATTCGAAGCCTTAGGTAGAACCAATGAGGCTGATCAATATCATTTCTTCCGAACACAATCTTCGCGGAGAATAAACGCGAATCTTTCGCGACTCCATCGCCGTGACCTTTACTAGCCACATGCTCCTTACATGGTCGCAGCTGGGCTTGGCAGTCGGAACTTTCCAGTACATGTGCAGAAAAGAAAAAACTTTGGCAGCGCCGGCTCGAAAGTCGCAACTCTCAACTTTTTGGCACCAGTGTAGAAAGGAATGGCAGCTCCAACTCGAAAGTTCAATACAGTTGAAGTACAGAAAGTACTCTTCGTTGTGAGAAGAAAATCGTACATCCTTCGTGAAACAAGCTTTCTCCTTTGAGAAGCCCAATCTCTCACTGGCCCCTAAACCTGCGGCACGACGGCCCATGACGGCCCTCTTGACTTCTTAGCCCTTCTCAGGACCTACATATCAAACGCCCATATTGCTAGCTGCACATCTTCCCCTACACTTCTGCCCCAACCTCTGGGGTTTTTCTGTTGCTCCGGACCACTCCACAGGTGGAGCACCCACCCCCCAAACGCCCAGCGCCCGCCCAGCGCGCGCCCGCTTGAGCGCCTGTGCCATGACCTCATCGGGCGGCTGCCCGAGGGCCTGGAGCTCCTGAAGCATCCGCTGCACCTGCGGAGCACTCGCGTCGAGAGCGCTCGACACTCGTCGCTGGGTCGCGTCAGAAGACCCAAGGAACTGGAGGGGTCTCACAACCCATTCTGGGCTCGCTCCCAAGGGGAAGCAAACCTCAAGTCAGAATCAAAACCGATCGGCAACATGGGGTATCCATTGATCACTATGGGGCATGTTGAGGTGTCCAGCTTTGGGAGTCCTTGGTAGCAATCACGATCGATGTTGGGAGCTCCCCGAAAAAGGGGAAACTAACCCAGAGTCAGGGTGAAGACCCCTGAAAAGGCAGAGAAACCCGAGAAACGTCAGAATCAAAACCCATCGGTATCAACATGGTCAATGTAATGATGAAAAAGGCGGCGAAGGCGCCCATTTGTGACAAGGATTGTGTCCTAAGACCCCCAGCATTGACCGGTCTGTGAATTTCCAGTCAGTTGGGCTGATTTGTTTGTCTACTGCACAGGTGTCCCAGAGTCACGGGGGGGTGGGACCAATAATTCCCGACAAGGCCCCGAGGCTTTGGAGCATGGGTAACTTTGCCCATTTGGTGAACGTCTTACATCTTTCTTGGTGGCTTCCTCAATGGTCCACGTTCATCGGAGTGATCAAACCCCTTGTTCTTGTGATTGGTACCTTTAAGCTACACCGCTTGAAACCGTGGTGTTCATACCAATGCCATCTGTTCGGCTGCTCAAAATGGCCTCGAGCCTTACAGCCAACAAAGGCTTCCGCTTTGCAAGGCTCCGTCCTGGTCCCGTGTGGCGTCCGGCAAAGGATCGGGGCTGGACCTGGCAACGGCACAAAGGCCAAGGATGGTGGAAAGGCACCTCTTTCCAGCATGAGGACCGCATGAGGAAGAAAAAAAAGAGGGCGTCCAATCCTTGGGCGAAGCTCCCGAAAAATTGTGACACACCCCGGCTCAAGCACCGGAGGTCCATAGAAAACCCATGCCAGCAGGACTTGTAGACCCCGACGATCTGTCGGTACAATCGCAGCTGCGCCTTCCAAACGCTCCCTCCAAGCTCGCCGAGCAAACAAAACAATGGCCGCTAGCTTGGCAGTCCTCGTACCGAGTTCTGTCTTCCTTTTTCAAGCCTGCCAAGGACACCAAAGTCGAGTCATGACCAGTCGCCGGAGCTCGGATGCCTTTTGTCTTCTTCAGATAGGGCTCCAGCCTCAAAGCGACCACTACGGAGAAATGGCCTTTCGAGCGCAGCTGAGGCGAGGGCGCATCCGCAATCTGCTGCATTGGTTCCGTCAAGAGATCATTCGAGAGCATCGACCTCGAGCTGCCAGGTTCGAAGCTACGGTGAGGGTCAAAATTCAACCGCTGGTAGCCAAGTTTTCTTCTACCTTTCCATTTGCAGCCCTACATTTGAGCCAATATGCTCCCCACTCCCCGCGACGGGGAGCCAAAAAAAGGAACGAAACACATGCCCGTCGTTGGCTGCGCACGACATGAAGGTCGTGAGCTGCTTCTCGAAGTTTGGGTCGGAACCTAAGGCGAGGGCATCGGGATCAAAACCCATCGGCATCCAACTGGCCGCCCGAAAAACCTGCCGCAAAGAATGGAGAGGGCGAAAAAAGACGCCATCTCTGGCAAGGGGACTCTATATCCCTCACGCACCTTCATCTGTTCAGGCTTTGATTGCTCACCTCTTGAACTGGTGGGATGGAGACACCCAGGTCCTGAGCACGCATCCTGATTGAGGCCGCTGCTGGCTGCCTGGTCAAAGTTCTTCATAAAGTTTTGGAGGAAGTCCTGACAGAAATCGTAGGTGAAGGGACACACAAGCTACAAGGTAGCAACCGGCGGGTTTTTCTGCCTCTGTTGTGTCAGCCGGAGTGGAAGATGCTATTGCGGGTGCAGTGGAAGCTGAAGCAGCAGCGTAGCCCTGAGAGCTGTGCACGCCCAACCCGCAGCCCACCATCCCCACCGGCACTTTGCATGAGCCACTGGTTTTTCTACAGGCAGCTAGACCGCGCCTCCGCACTTGCAGGCCTCGGCTTTCGTGCGAATCAGGGTACATGGCCGTGGGTCAAATCCCCCCAGTACACATCCCAATCCCCACTAAAATAGGTTCTAAAATGCGTGGCGAATTCACCTACCTACCAAAATGGGATCCCAAAACGGTTTTGACCCCGCCGCGCTTTTTGCAGCGCGTGCCGTGAGGCAAGTCTCTTCAGCGCCAGACTTCGGCTCGACGAGAGGAGTCGGCTTTGGCTCCGCGTCCTTGCCCTCAGCGGAGAGCCGAGCCGCGCAGAGCCGACTTTGAAATTTGGGGGTTGATCAAACGGGCCGTGGGATAACTATTGGGGAAACAAACTGAAACTATTTGATATTTCAGTCACATTCGTGACTTTACCCAAAAGGAAAAGCCATAAAAATAACCATAAATAACTATTAAGGAAACCCACGACATGGGAAAAGTGGATGGGAAACTGAAAAAACATGATATTTCAGCGCCACATGGGAAAAGTCGCCCCATCCTTCGAGGGAATATTGATCAACCCCCATGTACGGATCCACGAGACGCCGCCGGATCGACGGATCGCCGGATCCACGGATCGACGGATCTGCCGCCTGCATGGCTTCCGCCATGGCCTTCTGGAAATTCTCGTCCTGCGCGTTTTTTTGGCTGAAGGAAAACACGTGGGTTTTCTTCCGCCTGAAATGAAGATGTGAAATGGATGCCCTAAACCAACAAGGACAAATAAGAACATAATGACATACCCTCCCAAAAACTAACATGGAAGTGCAAAAAGGGCCTTTCCAAGAGGAAAGTAGTCTTTCTACAGGGGTCTGTGCACTTCCATGTTAGTTGGTGGGAGGGTGAAGTCTCTATTTTTTGAGTGCGTCTCAGATGAGACGCGGCTTTGGAACAAGAAGAAAGACAAACAAACATGGGCCATGTTCACGTTGGCCCCCGACTCTGAGGCAAAATGGCCGCCCCATGCACCCTCCTGGAAGGTTTGAACCAGGTTCTTGAAGAAGTCCTGCAGGCCAGACTGGTGAACTCACAGCACCATGCTGTGAAGATCTCCTCCCCCGGAGGTTGCGCATCAGACCTGGCACAAGTGTGCTTGCCAGGCAACATGAGATGTCGACTCATACCCACGTATCCACACACATCCAAAATGTTTGTAAGCACGCTAACTTCATTGGAAGCAAAGTCTGCTGGCCGGAGGGATGCTCAGCAGACGATTTGCAGGTGTCTAAAGCATTCTGCGACTCTGAGCTGAGTCATCATCAAAACCTCGTATTAAAATGGTCTTCCCATCATGTGAGGAAATGAACAGGCGGACTACCGCACCCATTTGGCTGTGGGTCAAACCCCAAATCGTACCCCTGGTGAACATCCCATTCCAACCACCAAAATAGGTTCTAAAATGGGTGGTGCACCTACCCCAAAATGGGATCCCCTTGATTTTGACGTGCTGTGTGAAGAGAAAGACCATCGCACCAAGCTTCCAATGATCTGGGTGAAGTACAACAGGGGTTCTTACATTATACACCTGAACATTGCCTTGTAAATGGTGGTTTCCCTTTATTTTGGTGGAAAATGCCATGTTTCAAATGGGCAACATGTCATCTTTTAAGGAGCCCTGTACAAGGGATCACAAGACAGGGGATCTTTGCAGTCACACCATTTAATACACTAAAATTGGTGGTGCATACCCCCAAAATGGTACCGTCGGTTTTGACCCACAGCCATTTCTGGTCGGGAGTCGTTTCCGCCTCGTTCCTTGCTGCAGCTCCTTCACAGCCTCGCCGGCACTTCGCTGCGTGTCGCTTGGAGCGGCCTCGCGATCGGCGCACGGCGCATCTGCGAAGTTCAACGGCGGAAATTGGCGGCTCCCTCCACTTGCTTTTGTTTGGCTTTTCTGAGGGGACGCCTTTTGTGTGGTTGCAAAGGGAAACGGGAGTCCCCAAAAACAAGGCACGCCCGTGGGACGGAGTCCGGACGAGTGCTTCCAGTCCTCCCCAGCCAGCCTTGCGGTCGCCCTCAAGTGCTGCTTGCACGCCACTGAGCGAGTCGGCAATGAGACTGTCCAGATCGTCTGCCTGCCAAAATGGCTCTTTGCTGCCCCATATACCTGTGGCTCAAAAAAGTGGTACCAAAGTGGCACCTTGGTAAATGGAACCAAACACAAACACCTGCCCAACCCTAGCTCTTTTATTTTGAGCCGTACCCATGTGTTTGTTTACCTACAGAATGAGTGCTTTGAGAGCAGAATCCAAGTTGCACCTGCCCACCTTTCTACTCGGACAAGGAAAACAATGGCTTGCTGCCTCTGCTATTCTGCTGTCCAAGGCTTAGCTTTGCGACAAAGTCGCGCCTCCATGTCTGGAGCGTGACAAAGTCAGACCGCCTCACACTGCGTGCGTCGCAAACCAAAACCGAGGCCAAGACAACGGCGTTGACGTGAGGGGTGCTGCCAAATGTGCAAAACCAGTCCCCCGGTTTTGTGGGAAGATCAGACAGCCCCCTCAATGCTGGCTGCCCGCTTTTTGGCGCCGCTTGATCTGGGGCTCTGGAGTGCGGTCTTTCACTTGCACGCAAAGTCGAGGCGCCAGCCTCCAACTGCGAATCCAAAAGGCTCACAGCACCAAAAACTTGAGGCTAAGCTAATGGGCGTGGCGGTGGCCATGTTGCTTCTAATTACCAACATGGCCAACCATGGAGATGCGCCATGCATCCCGCCGACCGAACATTGTGCGTGTTGGACCATAACTTCTAGAAACACAAACAGTTCAAGCTTCAACCCCACCTCAATCCTGAGGCTCTGAATTTCCCCATATCAAGGGCCAAACCAGGCCCAAACAGTGCCTCAAGCTCTCGCCCTTTTCCCTCGCCATTTTCACGGCGCGGCCCGTCGTGCGACCGTCGGGTTTCCTCACTGCGCAAAGGGCGCCTGGCTCGGCGGGCGCTGCCCCAACGGAGTCACAATCAAAACCCGGCATTAAAATGATCAACCCAGAACAATGCTTCAGGAAATACAAAGCCGGAATTCCGCGGCTGCTTCCGGCTCGGACTGTCCCTAGCTAACCTTCACTTACCCAGGTTTTGATAAAACAAGTATTAACAAAGAAGAAATAATTATCAAATGTAGCGACATTTGTAATTTGAGTCAAGACAAATAAAAAATGATGGCCCAAAAGCCTCCAGCTCCGGCGCGAGGAAGCTCTCCTAATCGACCCCAACGGCACGATTAGAGAAGCGCAAGGACGTCGGGTGTAGGAATCGGACGCCCCCTAAAGTGGTGGCTTCCCTGTTGGTGTCCCTCCAAAACGGTGGTTAACAGAGAAACATAAATTGGGGGTACCCTCAAAGCAGGACACGCGCTGTCCAACCCGATCAATCTTGTGCTTGCCTTGTGCCTCTGGCATCAACCTTGGCATGCTGCCTGAGCCAAGTACCCAAGCGCAAACCAGCGCGTAGCCAGTGAGACCAGCCGGAACAATCCTTGGCCAAACAAGTGAGCGCTGAAACATCCCCCAAGCCGACTGGAAGTTGTTGCACTTTTGGCAGGTCCGCTTGCAGCCCCTCATGGGAGCTGCAACGAGGTGCGGCCTGGTCCCCTTTACAAGCAAGCCACAGAGCAACCTCAGGGACGCACCCATAGGCAAATAGGTAGAGCGGCCACACCTGGGCCGCGCATTGAGCCAAGGGCTGTTTTTTTTTGCTGTTTCCTGGTCCAAACCCACAGAAAAAAGTGTGTGTGCCCCCAAAGAAGCTGGTTGAATCCCAACCGAGGGCTGTGCAGGCACTCCCCGCTTCGCCAGTTTCAGCATCTTCTCAGCTCCGGCCTCGAACCGATGGCCAAAGGTGGAAAGATAGCCACAACAACAGCTCCTACTGTGGGTGGACGAAATCCATTTCGCAGCACCTAAGAAACCCTAAAATGATGATTCCCCTGTAAATACCAACAAAGAACCGTTTCCCATGGTTTCAGAGTGATGCAGGATTTTGTCCATCCGCAGTCTGTGCAAGATCCGGCAGCTGGGCTTGCCTGAGGATCCTGTGCTGCCGGCACCTGACACTTCATGCACTCTCAGAACTCAGCTGTTTCCAGGTCCCCTGCCAAAAAAGCTTCTTAACTTTTGGTGGCTTAGTGGAAACTACCACTATACCCTGAAACAAATGAAAACCTGAGGGATTGCTGCACACTGCAATGCGTCGTGCATTTGCTTTCTTCCATCCTGGATCTATGCCACATGCTGGTCGCATGAGCCCGTGAACCGCGGATCCATCTTGCCCTTACTTTTTGGAGTGCCCATGTCCTGGTGATGCTTTGATTCAGCTACAAATACCATGGACCACGCCTCTGCTTGTCTCAGGCTGTTGACCAAGTGCTCACCTTCGGAACTGGCATGTCCGGTTTGAAAAGGCCCAAACACAACAAAGTCACAGGATATCCAAGTTGCAAGCGTGATGCAGGCCCATGCTTCTCGGCAAGCCATGCTAATCATGCCGATGTGGGGACGTCTTAACACTGAGGAAGCGGTACGGAAGCAACCAAGCTAATCTGCGGGAGAACGTCAGGTGGCAGATCCAGTTCACCCCCCCACCCCCCTCCCAGCGTGCAAGCGGAATCGCGCATGGCCTGCATCCCCTGAAGCGATGGTCCAAGACGATGAGATTAGGGCCAAAAAGAACAATGATCCAAGCCACCTTATAATTGACGGCATAAGTCGATCGTCGCATGGCAAAGCCATCTTGGGAGCCATACAGAGGGGTGCCCCGCACACCACCGCCACATCGCCACGGCCAAAGGCTCTCACCTGGAGCGGGAGAGTCGCGGTTCATAGGAATTCCACGCGATTTGCACCACCCCCAGCTCCTTGCTGCTGCTCAGTAGGGGATGACCCAAGGTGTTGGGAATGAACCAAGCAAACCATAGATGGTTTATGGGTCATTCAATTTCTCATTCCCTGCTCAGCACCAGCAAGTCTCTTGGGGTGAAAGGTGCATGTAGTGCTGGGTTTTGACCGACAGCACAAGGGCCAGAGCCATGGCAAGAGCCAGGGCAAAAGGCAGCAGGCCAGGCCTGCTGCGCCAAGTAAAACCCCCTCTCCTCGATGAGAACCTCGTGCGCTGCTGGGCAGAGGCGCCTCGGCAATAAGCTGCGCTTGCTTCCACAGGCTCACATAGTCAGCTACACCCCGGAGCCAGAAACCATCATTCTTGGAGGGACCTCAGGGCCCCCATCTGCCCCCCCCCCCGTCTGGGGTTCCTTGTCAATTTTCTGGTGAGTGCAAGGCAAAGAAGGAAAGCACAGGATGCTCCCAGACCGCAATGCTGAGTCTTCAAGAAACGCCATCCTCCTAATTATCCCGGCATCCCAAAGTTTGCACACATTGGTCAGAACAACAAGAGGGAGCCATTTCTTGATTGACCTGCCCGACTTGCTGGTTGGGTTGGTTGGTTGGTTGGTTGGTGGGTTGGTGGGTTGGTGGGTTGGTGGTTTGGTGGGTTGGTGGGTTGCTTGGCTGGCTGGCTCGTTGGTTGGCTGGCTGGTGTCCCGCCCGCTCGCTCGTTGGCTTCCTTGCCTCCTTGTTTCCTTCCTTCCTGCTTCCTTCTGTGCTTCTTTCCTTGCTTACTGGCTGGCTGACCAAGTGACGGCTTCCTGCCTCACCAACTGCACTGATTCTCTCCTTGGTTGGCGTTGAAAGGGGAGGAAAACAATACATTTCTAGCAGTTAAGTGGATTTGGATTTCAACCACTAAACCACAATAAGCCAAAATGCAAAATTGTTTCCAACAACAACCGTGAAATGACAAAATGGGTCTGTCTGATTTAAGGGACATTCAAACATGTGGGTGTTCCCTTTTGGTGCCCCTTTGGAACCACCGAAAAAGGAGTACCCTCAAAAATAGGTACCCAAAATTCACCCTAGTAAATGGAAACATGGACTAAAACCTGCGGTCCTACTCTAATGCTTTCCAACACTAACCGAGTCTCAGCCGCATCAGCTGCCTCCCTCGAAACACCGCCTGCCCGGACTTGGCCCCCAGCTCCAGCTCGCGGCGCAGCTCCTGGCCGTCCTGGACATCGGCTTGGTGTCCGAAACGAGTCTCCTCGTTGGTGCAACGCGGCTTTGTTGACTTGTCAATTTTTATTTACCAGTGTACTTGTCACGTGCATGTATGTAGGAATGTAATATGAATATATAATATTCATGACCCCTTCCCCGCGCTTACACAACAGCAGCCAGTTCTTCATGCGTCAAACTGCAGGCAGATCTTGCATGACTGAGGCCATTGTTTTTTTGTTTGTGTATATTGCTTAGAACCGGGGAGAGATTTACCCGGATGGGGCAAAGAATGCCCGAATACGCCGCTAAGACTAAACACAACGTTCGAGTAGTCAAACAGCACAGTTGTCAGCCATCTGGTGAACAACAATCTCTCCATCACCGTGGAAGCCCCACTATGTGTTTTTGTCCACACATAGGTGGGCAGGTGGTTGGGTGCAGTACACGATAGACAAAAGCAAGCATGACCGCACTGTCGGCCGTCGTTGCTGCATGCAGCAAATCCAACCCAAAATGCGAGCTTGCCGTTCAGCTCTTGCAGTTCAATCATGCTGCATGTAGTTCGCACAGGTATGGCCATGGGTCAAAATCCCGGTTACCCCCCAGTGAACATCCCAATCCCCACTAACATAGACTAAAATATACCCCAAAATGGTACCATGGTTTTGACCCGCAGCCGTATCAGTTGATGTGCAAGGCTATAGGCATGCACCGTTCCCGACAGGGGGTCCATGGCCCCATGCGTCAAGCGCGGCCTTTTTTGGAACATCTCTTGCCTCTCTTCGAAAAAAGTCGATCCAAAATGGCAATATCCGAAGCGCGCCAGGGCCAAGGGCTGGTTGGCTTTGCGTCTTGAGGGTACCATTTCACCGTGGACTGTTGGGGAGCTACAAGGAAACCCACCATGTTGCATGTCCCCCGATTTTGACGCGCGCGCACGCACCCATACTGCCTGCTATTGATTTGTCTCGCAAACGCCCCCTGGCTCCAGAAAAAGCCCAGTGTGCATCCGTGGCCGGCCTGAGGCAGAGCAAGCGAAGAAGCATCTCCTTGGCAGTTGCAGCAAAATGCGGGAGTCGCTCCAGAAACATGCTGGACGGAAACAAACAGAGGAAGGAAGGAAGGAAGGAAGGAAGGAAGGAAGGAAGGAAGGAAGGAAGGAAGGAAGGAAGGAAGGAAGGAAGGAAGGAAGGAAGGAAGGAAGGAAGGAAGGAAGGAAGGAAGGAAGGAAGGAAGGAAGGAAGGAAGGAAGCAAGGAAGGAAGGAAGGAAGGAAGGAAGGAATCAAGGAAGGAAGGAAGGAAGGAAGCAAGGAAGGAAGGAAGGACGGAAGGAAGGAAGGAAGCAAGGAAGGAAGGAAGGACGGAAGGAAGGAAGGAAGGAAGGAAGGAAGCAAGGAAGGAAGGAAGGAAGGAAGCAAGGAAGGAAGGAAGGACGGAAGGAAGGAAGGATGGATGGATGGATGAACCAATAGACTCATGGGACCAATGGACCAATGGAATGGATGGTGGACAAGCAATTAATTCCAGACCTCAACCTCATTGCGCCAAGGTTCCTAAGCTGCAAGCTTGACATGGACCGCCTGGGGAGCACACGTTGGCGCCGGAGGGAGTATCCTGCAAAGGCAAGCCTCGGAAACTTGGTCAAGTTCCCTCTTCGGACATGGGTCCAAAGAGTCACAAAGCTCTTCAACAGTACAATGTTGAACCCAAGCCTTCAAAACTCGCCGCAACAGGTGGACAGGCCGAAGTGAAGCGCGGGTGCGTGCCCTTTGCAGAAAAAGCTGAGCACCCCTGCAGCCCTTGAAGAAGTTTAGGATGCCAAAGCCTGACATGAGCACTGCTCAAGCTGGACATGTCGACCAGGCATGACAACTTGATACGGAAGCTCTCAATGGCTCTGTGCTCACTTCTAAGAGAGCTTCTTGATACTCTCCAAACAAGGAGAAGCTTGCAGTTTGACCATAGCAACCAAACTGCCCGGAAAGCTGCACGCCTGTGTGCCACGCGGCTGCGCGTGGCCTGGCAAGAACATACAACAAACTGCCCAAGAGCGGCGATTTTCAGATTCCGAGCACCGCACCGCCTGGGGCCTGTCAATCGGCAGAACGCCTGCGCCTGGAGCGGAAGCATGTCCACGTTCCTTGAAACTGGACCCGGTCGTTGATTCATCCAAAGGAACACCAGGCGCTCGCAAAAAGGAATCTGATAGTTTAAAAGGGACATTTCTGGTGCTCAAAAAGGACCCCGTCTTTGATTGATCCACAGGAACGAGGGCTATTCAATTTGACGGCTGGTGCTGAACAAGCAGCAGAGCCCCAGGCCCACTGCACGCGCCGCCTTCAGAATTGGGGCAAGCCTCGGACAACCAAGGGCTTGTGCGAGCCAAACCACACGAGCCAAGGGCAAAACTCCTATGCTCATGGTTTCCAGGTGGATTTCCACGGAAATGTCATTGCTCACCCAAGCTCTCAACACTTGGGGGCAAGCCTTTCCTTGCTCTGAGCCACTTAGGAACCAGCTCATGTTGCAGCAGGCCGCCGTGGATGTTGCCTCTGCGTGAAGCGTTCTGCCGGCTCCGCGTGTCCGCGTGCCCGCCTAGCAGGTCCAGCTTGGACGGGGGCCGCAGCGGCACACCTGGGCGGAACGCAGAAGCACACGTGCCCACCCCAAAATGGCGAGGGTGGTTCGGCCCCGAACGTCTGGATTCACCTTGAAGGGCGCGAGGTGCACCCCAGCCCTTTGCGCCCACTTTCCGAGACGAGAGGCCCAGCAGCATCGAAGACAAGACCTGGCCATAGCGTCGCTGGCATAGCTCCACCAACACCTGGACGCGCAATCGGGCGGCACGATACTGCAACTGCCAGTCTGAAAATTGGGCTGGGGTCGCCCAGTGAATGTCAACGAGCGAAACATGTAGATGGCTCCCCGTAAAACGGGAAGACTCTGTCAAATCATGTCAAATCAGTCAAGTCTTGAAGTCCGCCTTTGCGGCATCCCCGCCCAGCCGCCATCCCATCGATTTATTGACCCGGCCCCCGTACCCCGAAGGTAGATGTACACACCCTCTCTCTTTTGGTGAGTCTACTTCATCGAAAAATGAAATGGCCCAAACTAAGTTTGCAAAGAACTTCCCTCAGAAACCACAAGTTACAAGGAACCCCTCTTTTTACAGGGTGTAAAAAACTAAAATGGGCCTCAGAGTTACCGTCTTTTCGTTGAACCATCGATCCATTCGACTCCCTTCGATTCCAAAGCCCGAGCCCCGCGATCCATCGGATTGGATGCCTGGCGCGGGGCCAACTTGACGATGGCCTCCGCAGCCTCCTCGCTGCCCCCACGGCCTACAGCGGAGAAAGCGCGTAACCCCAAAGACTGATGAACGCCCCCCAGAAAAAAAGAAGAAGTGGAGGTGCCTGGAGTCTCCATGACCCTTTAAAAATTGGGTCATTACCCAAAATAAAGGGGTCATAGACCCATTTTTAAAGGGTCATGGAGACTCCAGGTGTACCCCTTCTATCACCCAGAGAGAGATATCGCAGAAGCGGCTTGTGGCGAAAACCGCGAGTCAACCACAACCCCGGGCCTTCAAAACGCCCGTGGAGCAGCGGCAGCACGGTGAGCCGCGCCCGGCCCACCTGCGAAATTCGACCCGATTCGACCGATTCGTTCGATCGGTCGATTCGAGTAGGCAGAAGATAGCAGACTTGAGCCATGCGTGAGTCATGGTTGAGACCCCTTCAAAGTGAGAACTTCCCCTTACGCGAAAAGTCATCTTTCTCAAAGTGAGACCCTTCAAACTCTGATAAAAAAGGAAAAGAACAAAGACCTCATCTGGTTGTATCTTGTTTTAGGGGCATGTTCCAAAATTGGCGGTTTTCCTTTTGGCTTCCCTTTAAACCAAGCCCAAGACGGGCTCCCTCGAAACAGAACTTGATGCCCTCGCATTCACCCGGGTCCTCGAAGCTGTGCGCCTGGCTGGGCCTCAAGCAGCTCCCCCGGGTGTTTCATGATTTGGAGCCCGGTGGTTTGGGGCGCTTTCCCATGCCCTGTGCAAGGACCAGTTTGCAATTCCAAATCCAAACCACCAATCCGAATCACCAACTAAGTGCCTGAAGCCCGGTCTGACGTGGCTGTGGGTCAAAAATAGGTACCCAAAATGGATCCCTGGCTGGTGAGCAGAAATACGGACTAAAAAACCAGTGGTTGAGTTTTGACTTGTACCCATGTGGACAACAAGGCCTGTTACTTCTGGCCTGTCACAAAGGCATGAAGGTTCTTGGCGCATTGAACCGGACGGTGCGCTTTTCGCAGAGTGGCTGCCGTAGAAGCAGCAGGTCATTTACGGGCCCCGCATCTTGAGGGGCGATGTATCCAGACTATATACATTGGCAGCAGGCCATTCCAGGGCCATGCTACCTTCCAAGCAGTGTGAAGCAGGCAACAAACAAAAGACACAAACCCACGGATCATCGCAAAAAAAAGAAAATAGTTTTTGCAGTGAGTCAATCCAGAACTCCAGCACCCATGGGTCGAATAAAACATAACCCTGAAGCCCTTGCTTGCTTCACACCTGCGAAGCGAAACCGCCATCTTTTCATAGTCCTTCAGCTGTTCATCTGGCCGTTCCGCGGCCCTCCGTAGACATCCCGGCCCATGTTGGACTGCGTCTGCGTCATCATCACCTGGCCAGCCCGGTTAGATCTTCAGGCAATCAGACTGTGGCCTTCCAAAGAAAAGCCAACTTGACCAATACTGACTTTACTTGCTGATTCTCAGTAGGAAATGACCCAGGGTTCGAGAATGAACCAGGGATTCCCTTTAAGAAAACCACCGAAAAACATGTATATAGGGGTCATTCCATTTCTCATTCCCGGATACTGAGCACCAACAAGCTGCAAAATCTTCAAGCCAGCTGGCCCAGCACCCGGCGCTTACAACCCACGCGCCCACGCGCCTTGGAGACAGGGCGAATGAAGGCGTTCTCCAATTCGATGGGGGCGCGGGGGTCATGGGAGTAGGTGCAGGCCTGGCCACCGAAAGCCACCGACCACCGATGGATTGACCGATTGAAGCCTCCCATAGCGGCCCCTTGCGGAAAAAATAAAGGCCGGACAAAAAAATCGGATGTGTTTTTTTTGTTTCCACTCATGTTGTTCACAATCACCTTTGGCTTTTCTTCCAATGTGTGTGTGCGTGCGTGTATGTCTTGTTGGAAGGACGTGTTTGCCTTTCCAGAGAAGTTCGAAGACGCGCACTGGCGACAGCTCGGAACAGGCCGCACCTCCCCCACGGCGCAGTCTCCGCGCTGGTGGTGCTCACAGCGTAACCTGCGCTTCTTGCCACTCAGACGGCCCAAGTTAGGAGTGCCCAAAACCCATTGAAGTTTGCTTCTACCGAAGGTTGCAAAGGCTGTTCATAGGGGCCTCACCACTACCTAAATTGGTCGATTGAGGGCTTTGGGCATTCCAATCTGGTGTTTTTTCCGCGAGTACGCCAGCTTCAGCTTCAGCGTAATATATATATATATACATATTATATATATATATATATGTATCCGGCGGCACCAAAGGCCGCGCCTTTTGTAGCCCGGGCTCAGAGCCGTGAGGTGAGGCACCTGCAGCAACTGGTAGAAGTCCTTGTCACCGCCTCAGACCCGACCCAACCGGAGGCGAGCGAGCGAGCGAGCCGGCCGCTTGGATGGAAGGCGGGCGCGGGAATGAAATGCGAGCTCAGGAGCCGTGCTTGAAGCCCTCAGGGAGGTTCCAGTTACTCAAGCGGTTGCAGGCCCCCCAAAAAGTGGTGGTGTTGCCGGCCCCAAGGATTCCAGAAGAACAAAAGCACGAGTCAAGAAGAAGCTCCCGGGAAGTCCTTGTAGATATCATACCATTGGGTTCGAAGCACCTGTCGAATTTGATGGGAGCAGGTCTTGACGTCTGCCAATGCAACTCTCAGTGTCTCAGGCGCTCAGGCCTGGTCCATGGAAGACGTTCGAACCTTCATTTGCCGAGCGATTGCGCTGAATACCTCTGCTCAGGTCATTCAAGCGTTTGTGCTCAGAACACCTGGAAGCTGAACTACACCAGCTGCATGCTTGTTTTGTGCGGGCGATATGTTTTCAACATCTCATATTTGCAAGTTGCCGATTCATCGTAGACGTTGAGGATCGCGAAGCATTTCACGACATCGTCCGCCTGCTCCACGTTCAACCTGCTCATGTGTGTCAAGGGAAAACCTCTGCGAGGCATCGCCGGCAATCTTGCACGAGCCCATCCGATGCCGCTTTCTCGCCTGTCCCTGAGCAACAGCCTGACAGCGGGCGCGCAAGCAACAACCTCCAACTTACCACGTGCGCATGTGAGCAAAGGCCAATTGATCCTCATGGTTCAAGCCCCCCAAAACCTCGGGCGAAGCCTACAAAACTTTAGCCAGCTCCGGGCCTCTTCAGCACGCCGCTCAGCACCCTGCGCAGAATGTGTCTCAATTCAGGGCTCGCCAAGTACATTAAAAACAAAGCCATGGTCTTCAAGAACTTCCACCCTAAGGGTCATGACCATGACCCCTCCAATGCAGACCCCCCCGATCCCATCAAGGGCCCTCAACAACAACCCGTTTGGAGGGCCCAAAAATAGTCGGGACGCTTAGGGCATGAAATAAACATAACACCTGCGGGAAGATACCCGAATCAGCTTCCAACTAATCATAAGAAACATGAAAAATTGTCTTTCGGAGAATCTCTCCGGCCCATTGTCAAGGCGTCGATTGCACATGCCCGGATATGTACACTGCCTTGTCACCTCGCTAGGAGCATATTCAGTCCCATTTCCTCCCAAAAAGATCACCCCAGTTTCCATGTCTCACCCCTAAGAAGCGCCGCACCCAAGTTTCAACTCGAACCCGACACGAGCACAACGCGTTCTGGCGGGACCTGATGATGTCAGAGTCGAAAAACTTGGTTCTGGCGAGTGCCCTACAGGCTGCAGCCACATCTTCAGGCAGCATCCTGTCGGGTGGCACGCGCCACATTTGCGGCCCTCGGCACTTCCCACAATTCCTACGCCCTTGGTTCAACTTTCCGTGGCCATTGTGAAGCTTCAGGGCTTTGTCCCAGTGGCTTCTACCGCCCGTGGCATCAACCAACCCAACTTGACAAGGATCTCAAGGTCAAGGGGATGTGGCATGCACTAGAGGTCTTACAGCACCGCATGCCTTGGGATCTTTTTGAGCAGGGCAGGAGAAAGCACCATCATTCTCCCAAATGTCTCCACCTCAAGTGGCCAAGAGAAATGACTTGCTCAAAACAGACTCCAAGCTTGGGCCATGTGTGCAGACATGTGGCTCCATCCAATGTTGCAGCGGAAACGTCTGCGTTCTCATCTTCGCTTCCAGACACATCCTGTTTTTGGAAGCAATCCCAAAAGATCGCTCTAAATAAGACAAACACCACCGAAAACATACACCACAAAAAACACGAAACGTTGGAGAAAACCGGGCGGTTACCTCAGTCTTCTCTGTCGACTCCGCCGGCTGTTCCTTCCCGCGATCCTCTTTCTGTTCCTGAGCATTTCGGCGCATACGAGTGGGGCAAAGCGTGGCAAAAGAAGCAGCCGTGCAAACATTGAAACTATGGTGTTTCCTTTCCACATGAAACACCCCCTACTGTAATCATTCCGGGAAGTTCATCCGGGGTAATGGAATCATGGAGCCAGCCCAAGCACAGATCTCTCACAAAAGGGAGTCAGAGCCCCAGTGGGTCAGGGCAGGAAGCCCCGCCTCCTCTTCATCGGAGTCCATCCAAGCAAACTCCTTCCTTATCAAATGGCAGCTGCCATGTTCGAGAGACTCGGGCAAAAGCTCACCCGAGACAAAACGGAGCCGTTCCTTTTGCATCCGGGCACATCGGCGCATATCATTCAAGCCTCTCCTCACAAGGGACACCGCATTGCAGGGCCAAGCGACTCCTTCTTCGGCTTACCTTGGAAGACCCAAACACGTGTTCCAGCTCCAAATGAGCGAATTGCAGATCAGCCGCTCTCCTTCTCTTTCTCCTTCACCTCGCACCCCTCGTGGAAACCCCCCCCAAAAACACAACCTCCCACGCCCTGCGCCCCGTGCACGCCCGAGCCTCCTCCGGCGCCTTGGTGTCCTTGGTGTCCTTGGCGCCGTCTACCGCCTTCTTCTTGGATGGTGGCTTCACCACCTGGACTCGAGGCCAACCCCGAAACAACCAGCACAGCAGCCCCCCCCCCCCCCGCACACAAGCCAGGGCTGGTTCTTTTGTGCAAGCGGGGTCACGGGCTTGTTAAGCACATGCGAAGCACTCGTTTGGGCAAACGGTTCCCCACGCACTCCAAGGAACCACGGCAAGGTCCCAGACCATGCTTGTGATATCCGGCCCCACCATACCATGACCCTTTAAAAATCGGGTCATTACCCAAAATAAAGGGGTCATAGACCCATGTTTAAAGGGTCATGGAGACTCCAGGTACGTCAAGTCCACTCCGCCAAGGCTCCATCTCATTCTCAGAGTCCGACAGCGCGGCGCACACCGGCCGGCGCTTCATGGCCCTGCGAGCTGAGCGAGAACTCGAGTTCTCTGCCAATCCATCAAGTCTTGAGCCAAAGGCCGGCAGACCAAATGCAACCACAGGCAAGTCGTTTAGTTGACCCTGACTCATCCCATCCCGCAAAAAGCATCACTTTTCAGAAACACCTTGAGTGTTGGAGGGCTGACTTATCCCTCATGTTCCCATCTTGGGTTTACTTCTTGGGGTTTCGGCCCAGGCAAAATCCGATCTGAGTGCCCCTTCAAAGCCGCCAGACGCAAGAGGCGAGCTCTCATGGCTCAGGAACCATGCGAGGAACCTCTTGGCGGAGTGGGCTTGGCTTCGGTTGAAGGTATCCTTTTTGGGGTGGTGTCAAAAGGGCAACCAGAATTTCGAAGCAAACCACTCAGGTTTTGGGGTTCGAGACAGAGCCAAGTGGACCTGCTGTGCTTGGCATGTAGCGATGCAGTCCCGGGTGCATGTTCCTCTCGGAACAATCAGAGTTTGTCCTTGGTGGAGCACAAAATGGCCAAACATATGAGGCCGAACATATGGGGCTCAAGGGAACCCCTTTTTGGATGGTGCATAAACAACTGAGGCTCCCCATTCTAGGAAACTCCAAATCAGATTCTGAGCTGTTTTTGAGTGTGAGCTCATCTCTTGCTTGCCTAAACCGATGTTCATTTGCTGCCTTTTCAGCGTGCTTGAGATGTTGCTCCAGCTTCAAGTCATGCATTCAAGTCTGGTAGCTTGCAACTTGCGCCGTGGAACAGAATTCAACATGTCGGACGACTCTCAAGCAAACCAGCAATTGGCGAAGAAACAGCTCCAAACAAGGTCAAAGCGCCCGCTTTTTGTTCGCTCGCGTTGCTCCGATTGGGGCAAACGCTAAGGGCCGCGAACGGAGCAATAAAAAAAACATGCGTGGGCTCTCTGTCCACGTCTCACTGCTCCACTCCGCACGGGCAGCTTCTTGCCTTGAGGTTGGCCTCAGACACCCCCTTCGGGAACCAAGTCCCGCCACAAAAAATCAAAAAAACAAAACAACAACACAAAAGAAACAAACATATACTGTATTAAAAACAAGAAATATAAATAGAAAGAAAAGAGAAAAGACAAACAAGAAAAAGAAGAAGAAGACGAACAAGCCAAACACATCCAGCCTTGAACTCGGCGTCTTCTTTGGTGTAGGTGCAGTTCTTGCCTGTCGGCTTAGAGCTTCAAACCGACCGCGCTCAAAAACCAAACCTTCAATCATCTCGTGCCCTCCACACGCTGCGAATTTGTCGATCCACACGGGCCATGGGTTAAATCCATATCGTACCCCCAGTGAACATCCCAATCCCACTGAAAAAGACTAAAATGGGTGGTGCACCTACCCCGAAATGGTACCATTGGTTCTAACCCACAGCCACTGAGAGAGAGAGAGAGAGGGAGAGAGAGACTCTCTTTGGGCCAGGCACGGTCCCGTAGCCGCTCAAGGCGTTGATTGATTTCTTGGTTCCAGACAACATCGCCACTCAGCTGTTCGAGCCCAGAAAAGTATGCAAAAGCTTCATGGCACCCCAAAATGCGTAGAGATGAACCCCTGGAGGTATTCCCTGTGCTAGATATGGGGAGGTGCGGAACTATCACTAAAGTCACCCATCCCCTCCGGTTTCGGTTTGAGGCATAAAGCAAAAAACAAATATGCCAGTGGGCTACTTGGGTGTGGCTCCCCTTTTTTTAAGGGGTTTTTCATGTTTTACGGGTGTCCAAAGGGAAACCCGAGACCAAAAACCGTGCTTTTGCGGGCGTCCAAAGGGAAACCAACACCAAAAACGCCGTGTTTTTCGCCATTGTATTCTTTTGGGGGGGGGGGAACCGTGCCCCATTTCTACCGTGCATTTTAAGGGGAAGCCCGAAAAACAGCCGGTGTTTGGTTTTCCATGTTTTTGGGGGGAAACGTTTCAACACACACAGGTCTCCAGGCCGCACCTTGGAGCGGCTCCAGCAGAGCTTTCAGGTTCAACGCCTTCGGCTCGTCTTCTTCACAGCTGGCGCCCAGGTCGAAGGACCGGCCCTGGGACACCTCTGCGGTCGAATCGGCGAGGGCTTGCTGCGGCCATCCTTCTCCCCCCCCCCCAAAAAAAAAAACACAAAAAACAAAAAAAGGGAAACAGATCAGCTTCCCTCTCCAAGGTGGTTTGGAGCCCCCCCGCAAAGAGAAAAAAAAACGAAAAAATCCGAAAAAGATCCGCTTGCGTCCATAAGTTGGTGGTTTGGAGCCGAATCGGCTGTTTGGTGGTGAATTGGAGGGGTAAACCCTAGGGGTTGCAATTCCCGAACCACCGATCCAAGCCACGTTGCGAAAACCAACAACGATCTTAAAAAGAACTCTCTGCACTCTTGGAAACAAGTGCAACCGTACATCCCCCCCGATTGTTCAAGGGTGAGCGAAACCGTCCCTTGGACTGATGGCTGGTCTGGCTGGTGGACTTGTGCGAGTGTGTTGGATGTCAAGTCTCAAAACAGCGCTGCCAATGGGCTGGCTGTGTGCTTCCTTCAGTCAAGCCACGATTTGTAACCTGCATGCCACGTGCTGCTTCCGCTTCGCTGAGGTCATCAAGCTTCCAGATGAAACCGCTTTCACCTTCATTGAGATCATCGGACTTTTGACCACCCATCCAAATATTTACTCGCAACCGTGGACCTTCTTTTTCTGAGGCCCGGAACACCAAACTGTGGTTGGTTTTTTCCTCCATTGTTTTCTCGCATCTCCCCACGAGGAAAAAGAAGCAGGAAAAAACAACAAGCCAAAACAACTCCCCAGAACAAACAATACCAAAAAAACAACAACACAAACAAAAAACAGCTCCGCGGAACACCAGATCTCGACAAACGCCCTGGTCGGCGCCTGAGGCTCCATGATGCAGCTGACGCAAACGGCGGCCACGTCCTCCGCCCGACTTCATCTGACCCCATGTGGCGGTATTTCTTAGTTTGTTTTGGGTGGTTTTGAAGGGGATTCAAAAGGACATCACCAGTTTGTGGGGTACCCGTCAAGACAAGACCCATGGTGGCGAAATCCCTTCGCAGCACGAAATTCAACCACGCTTGAAGCCATTGTTTGTTGGAATTTACGGGGGAATTAACAGAAACCTGGGTTTCTTAGGTGGTGCGATTTGGATTTCGCCCATCCACACTATAAATCAACCCCGGTTTGTTCAGAGGGGTTGGGGGTTTTTCAAAGTGGTCTGATTCCACCAATAAACTGGGGTTGATTCATTATGGGGTCCACATTATGCCAGAAAACTTGTGTCTGGCTGTTGGACCACGTTAGCCCAATGTGGGCAACTGGCAACAAAATGTGTAGTCTGCAGTTGTTTGGGGACGACATGGGAAAACTAAGGATATTCTCAGGGGCTCATGTGATCGTTGTCTTGAGACAGTTTGACCGTGACAGCGCAGGTTGCAAATTCGATTCTTGCCGGCACACGGATTCCTTGTGTTGCTAGATATGTGACCCAATTGGAGTAAGTGGCTGAAAACGATTTTGCAGGCGGGCTGCTTCCTTCCCTTGCTACAACCCCCTTTTCGTTTAAACAGACATGCCCAAACGGCCGAAGAATGCTGGGCCAAAGCAACTTGAGTCACACTCGAAACCTGGGAAAAACATGATCTACCCAGAACCATGCTTCAAGAATTAAGAAGGCGGGTATGCGCATCCATTTCTGGCAAGGATTGGCCCGTACCCTCCGTTTTGAGAACGTGACTCACGTGAGTCACAATCAAAACCCGGTATCAAAATGGTTGAAAAATGTAAAGATTTAAGAAGGCGCACCCATTTCTGGCTGGGACTGCCCCTTACTCACCTTCATCTACCCGAATCGGTTTTGAGGACGTGACTCACCGTTGCGGTTTGGTCCGGTCCTCTCGCGGCACCAGGCTCCGACTCTTCTCTTCGTCGTCCAATAAGGAGTCGTCCAAGCCCGCGAAGAGCTCACGGCGACCGCCTCCAATTCGTCCGGCTGTTGTGTGGCTCTTCTTTTTGGGACTTGGACCCCAATGCCGGCGCTCCTCTCGGTTTCCATGTAAAACCCAAGCAAAAAGGGAAACCAACTCCGAAAAGGTACAATAATTATGGGTGTGGTCCTTTGAAATCATACATCCCCATGTGGGGGTTGAGACCATTCCACAAGGCCCCCATGGATAACTTGTCCCAAGTGGTGAAAGTCAAATCTTTTTGGTGGCTTCCAACCAATGGTCCCCCCATGAACAGGACATGTTGATCAACCCCCTTATTTTGAATGCTTCCCTTGGCAATCACTATCTCTCCCTTTCACTTCTTGTATGAAGAGCTGAGAAAGGGGGATCAGAGCAAGGGCAAAGATGGGCAAGTGGGATTAGGAATGGATTCTTGCCCACTCTCCTTTCCCTGTCTATCTCTTGCTCGCATCCCTTCCCATCCCCTTATGAATTAAGCCGTGAGGGATGGGTTGGGGAAGGGAGTCATCGTCTTCCTACCTCCGGATCTCCATCTCCTTTTCATCGCTAGGAATGAGACCCCAAGAAGAAGAAGACGATTAAGAGAGTCATGGGAGAGAGGTGGCCATGGGTCAAAATCCCCGGTTACCCCCCAGTGAACATCCCAATCCCCACTCAAATAAGTTCTAAACTGGGTGGTGAATTCACCTACCCCAAAATGGGATCCCATGAGTTTTGACAACCACAGCCAGGTGATTCTTGAGCCTCTCTTGGGAGAAAGAAAATACCCTTGGCAAGCAGGTGGTCCACTCCAAAAAGCAATTCCCGGCGTCGCCTGGGGCAGGCGTCTTGTCTCCGTAGTGCGGAAGCAAGCCGCCGGGATGGATGATGGTGTAAGGAACTTGACTGGACATGAGATAGCACTCGGCCTTGCCTCGGAGAACTCTCCCACTGCAATGCAGCCCATGCAACCCATGGGGAACACCCCTCAGCATGTTTCTCTTCTGGCTAATTAGGGGCACTGGAGGATCCAACCTCGGCAAAAGCTCATGGGCCTCTTTTGCATTCTGGGCACGCTTCCACAGCACAAGGTTGTCCATCTGGGTATTCAGAAAATGATCTGGCCTCGGTCCGACAGCCGGTTGTCGTTTGTAATGAAGGGGAGACATAAAACATGTTGATCATCAAACATCTTGACCGTCTTGCAGTTCAACAGCATCTTGTAGGATGCCAAACAATCCCGAGAGCAAAAAACAAAGAACAAAGAAAAGCAGAATGCGGACCAGCAGCTTTGTGCCTGCCATTGATGATACCAGCACGATGTGCTTAATGCCACACGCTTTCGCCGCATCAATCTGGCTGCGCTGCCCAATCCAATCAACCTCTTCTGGAGTCTGGCCCTGCCAAGGCGAGATCGAGAAGCAACCCACAGTGCACAAGCAACGGGATTTCGGAGCCGGAGGCTCCAGAACTCCCGCCTCATCAAAATAGTAGGACGGCTTCTTCGACCTGAGTTTCTTCAGGCAAAAACAAGTGAGCACGACTGCATTTCTGACATAAGGTCGTTTGACGCAAAGCGGGCAAATCGACTGCATCTCTGACGTGAGGGCCAAGGACATATTGAGGTCGGTGCGCATAGCCCAGGGAGACAATCTTTGCAACCACCACCCCAACCTTGGTTGCTGTAACGACCCCTCTGCAAAAAGTGTTTAACTTTCTGGGTGGGCTTTTCGTGGGAACAAAAACATGTCCACCAAAAACTGAAAAAGTCTAAAGATCTGTGGCCCAGCAGTCAAGCAACTAGGGAAGACTTCAGAAGTCGAGGCATGGAGCTGGTCACAATGATCAAGCCGTCTGCACCTCTCCGCTTTCTCTCTCTTCGCGCTCGCGCGCGCGCGCGCTCATGGAGTGGTCCAAGGGTCCAGGGTTAGACAGGGGACCAGCTCATGGCTTGTCTGCATGAAATCTGGTTTCGTGGCAATGCCACCGGGTCAAACGCATCAAAAAATTGACCATCGCCCCGACTCCTGGCTCGTCTGCCTGACTGCCTGACTTCTGGGCTGGTGGACACTACCACCAAGCCCCAAAACCCCACAACCCCTTGGAGGGGGATCGGGAAGCAAGACATGCGTCCTGACCGGGAACCGGCAAAAAGTGGTGGCAGCCCTCCATTTGCGTTTTGGTCCCCTGGAAGAAATGAGAACATATGTCCAGTAGAGAAATCGATGCCCTTTAAAACCAACAGGGGAAAATGAAAAAACATATTCATTTCACCACCTGGAAGCAGCCTGACGTCGTGCGCATTGCGGGGGGGCAGTGGGAACGGGACGTCGGCGCCTTTGAAGGCATCTTTGAGACTCTCGGGCTGAGTCACATCCGCCAGCGCCACCTGCAGGTCCTTGGCCTAAGTCGACCCGACGCGTCTCAAGCGGCGAAAGGACGAAAAATGGGTCGGTGTCCAGGTCCTCCAGTTTTGAGAGGTTAGAATAAGGGTATCAACTTGTTTTTTATTTGTATTTTTTCCCCGTAGTCAATTTTAGTAGGGGAACCCTGCCCCAAAAAAGAAACGGCAAAAGGGCACCTAGCTGGGGGACCTAGGTTTTTTAAGGGACCATCAAACATGCGTTTTTTTTGTTTTGTTTTTTTGGTGCCCCTTTTCTCACCACCAAAAAAAGAGGGGGAACCCTCAAACTTGTGGTTCCTGGGTGGCCGTCCAAATCGGATACCCTTCCAATGGAAGTTCTGGCCCCAGTAATGAATTTACCAGCAAGGTCACCCAAACCACCAACCAGTTTCTGACTTCACCCCCAGAAATGGTAACAAACAAAATTAACCCCCTCCACCCCCACGCCCCCATTGGCCCATCCCGCTAACATGTCTTTTAAAGAAAGTCTCCGGCCACCTCTCTGGAAGGCAGTGCCGCACCTGTCAGCCTGCGGCTTTTTCCAAGCCCTCGACATCTCCCAGCTTCTCCCTCAGCGAGGCCTAGCAGCTTTTTGGCCAAAGGTGCTTAGGGCCATGTGTCGGTGTCGGTCTTTTTTGTGGAATCGGACCCCCCAAACTGGTTTTCCTAGGTCCTCCAGGTTTGAGAGGGGTAGAATAAGGGTACCAACTTTGTTCTGTAGTTTATTTTAGTAGGGGAACCCTCCCCCAAACAAAGGGTAAAAGGGCACCTAGCTGGGGGTAGTTTCCTTCTGTTTGTTGGTGTCCCTTTTAAATCACCCCAAAGGGGCACCCTCCAAAAAAATACACACTCGCAATGCGACTCCTTCATCTCGGCGGAAGTGAGGGTATCAAAAGAAGGACACTCGTTGCAGCACCTGACACATTCTCTCAAGCATGCACTCAGGGATGAAAAAATAACCATCCCACCCCACCTATGCTACCCACAGTCTGAAACACTCCCCAGCCCAGGCGCCTCACTGGTCTCACTGCGCACCACTGCCGTAGTCGCCACCTTCTGCGCCAACAGCTTCTGCACAACCAGACTGCCAGTTTGCCCGCCTGCCCACGCGCGCGCGCGCGAGCGAGCGCTGGCGAGGCCTGGACCTTTCTTCGGGCATCTCTGCGTTTCCTCACACACACAAACCTCTGGCTCTGGCCTAAGTGGAGCGGATTGACAACAGCCCAAAGACAAAGATGTGAGGGTGACATAAAAAGTTCAACCACATGTGACCTTCTTCACACGCAGGCTATCATTCACACTTAGTCTACTTGTCACTGTCAAAAACTGCTGCTCACAGAAACCATGACTTGTTTTTGACGCTTCATGATGCTTGCTGGAACATCGATGAGAAGTTGCCGGATTTGGGCATCATCCTCGTCCGATTGCGAGGTGGGCAAACAGATCCTGTGTGGAACTTCCGGAACGCGACCGCAAACATTCCAAACACATGCTTGCCTTGCTTTTCAGAAGCTCCATGAAATGATTGTACTTCGTGGCCCTCGTGCAAGTGCGTGTGCGGAATGATGCCTAGGTCAAGGTGCCTTGAAGAGCTCTTGCTTTCGTGTTTTAAGTTCGCCCCAACGACAAGCTCCGTGCATTTCTCGAGCGACGTGCGTTTCGAGCCCACAAGCCTTGCAATGACACATCAGGTTTGCGGGTCAGAAAGACACCAATAGCTCTCGTCTGCAACATACGCAGAAGACCAAACACGGGCTTCTTTGTCACCATGCGAGCCGGCCAATGCCCCAATGCCCCAAGTCAGTGTCCCTTGCGCGCCTGCCCCTGTAACGACCACTCGGGTGGGGCCCAAAGGCCCAGTCCGCTGTCTGAAAATGAAGGACATGGCGCAGGGCGCTCGGGAACGATGCGGGCTGATAAAGATGCGCCTGGGTAAAGAGAAAAAGGAATGCGCTAATGGAAGATACGCGCTCTTTGAGCCAAATTAACGAAAACCGAAACGATGCAAGGCAGAGGCAAGATGCAAGGCATTTTACTTGGTCACTGGGACTACTAGGTCCCTAGGTGTGCTGCATCGGTCTACCAATCGGATTGTTGCTTCAAAGTATGAAGTGATGCAGCTCTGCATGTATCACGTCGTGTGTTCGTGCCAGGCCAATGGAATCACTTACATGCAAGGCAGCCCTTTTGAATGATCGATGCTCTTAGCAGATCATTGGACAAGCTCCCATGCTTCAGCTTCCCTGGATGAGCTCATTCAACTGCGCGACGGTCTCCTTGAGAGACCTTGGATCTGATTTCCCTGGCACAGCCTCCACTGGAAAAGAAACGTGGGTTTAAAGCCGAAACACAACCAACTCTTTGCGGGATACACATGATCTCGCGGAGCTGAAACGGTTCGCGAACCCAACTTCGGACTGCGTCATGAGTTGCGAGGTTCACGGATAGACATCAAAGTTGAGTCAGCCAAGGCAAGCGACCTCTATTCCTCCCGCTTGGCCTTTCCGTCAAACCCAGGGTTCCAACCCACACCTACCCAACCCTTCCAAACACCTGCGTCCGGCCCCAGACACTTGCGCCGGGCCTGCTCAAAACTGAGTGTCTCAGTCAGTGTCCCCTCCAAAATCGGCTGTCTGAATATCTCCATTACATGGTTCCCTACCCCAAACATTTGGCTGTGGGTCAAAAATCGGTACTTAAAATGGCTTGCCCTGGTAAATGGAAACGTGGACTAAAACCTGCGGTCCCCTGGTTGCTTTATTTCGACCCATACCCATATACCCACCCCCCACACCCCAAACCCACGTCAAGAGCTCCACCCACCCCTCAAACCCCCACCCCCCACCAGCCGCCAAAGCGGCTGGATCTCCTCCTCCCGGCGCTTCTTCCGGGCCTCCTGGGACTCCTCCCCCTCCGTGCAGATGCCCTGCACGCGCCGATCGCCGGACGGCATGGAAACGGAGCTCTCGCCCAGCAGGGGTGTGGTTTTTTATCACTCGGGGTTTATCCAACCACTTCTGTGATACACGTTTCAACAAAGGAGGTGGCATGACCTACCCACCTCTGTGATACAAGGAATTTCCCCCCTTTACATGGGGGGTTAGTCTTTGGGCCGCGCCGTTTTTGTTGTATCACAGAAGTGGATTCCATTTCCCACAGCCCTGCCCAGCAGCGGCCCCCGTGAAAGACGCGGGAAAGGCGCGAGAGAGGCGGCAAGGAAGTGGCAAACACCAGGGGAAAGAGAGGAGGACAAGGCACATTAGTATCAGTTGACTGTGGCTGTGGCTGTACCTTGGGAAAGATAGGGCGATGAAAATGTCAACGCCTGCGTAATCAAAACAAACAGCCTAGGAGCCCCGCTTTCTCCGTCTCTCACACCACCTCAGAGTTCCCCAAAAGATACATCCAAGAAGCACCGGACGCACAAAAGGAGTCTCCAAATCAGCTGGACATTTGATTTTCACGATGGCCAAACTGCTTCTTGGATGCGCTGTCACGTAGCGCTTTTGGGCTAGCGGCTCTCTGGTGAGACGAGTGCTTCTCCGTCAATGAAGATGTACAATTTGATGGCCTTCGCAACTCCACGCTGCTGATGTAGATCTCCTAAAGGCCGGAGATTGGCTGGCTTTTCGAATGAACGGTGGACGCCAACATGCTTCATCATGTGAACGGATCCATCAAGAACCAATCTTTGAGCAGCTCCATTCCTCGAACTGATCCTTCAACTCAGCTAAGTATTTATCGCTGAACTCTGAATGGCTGTGCTCAGCCCATTCACCCCACCATGCATCAACATGGTGACGACGTTTCTCAATCTCCTGCAAGAAGTCGTCCACCACGGTTCCCTTTCCCTTGGATCCACCCAAGTAGTGCTCGCAAAAGGTCCGTCTCTGGAAGAGGCTCGGGTACAACCCAGGTTCGTAGCGGTATGGTCCCGTTTTACTTTGGGGACCCGTCCACATATTGAAGTGGATGGCAATATCACAGGCAGGATCCAGTGTTCCCGCATACTCGAAATCTAAAAACTGCAGATCACCATCTTGCATTATCAACATGTTGTTGTGGTGCAAGTCATGGTGGTTGAAACCCGTCCTCTCGTGAAACCTGCGCAGGGTCCGCGCAATCTGCGGCATTGCTTCTACGCGCATCTCCTGGTGACTGGGCGTTCGCCCCTCCAGCCACTCCTCTACTCGTCCCTCCTCAAAGTTCAGAAGTACCTTGGGTCCAAAGCCGCGGTCCGCGATGTAGCGAGCGCGTCGCACCTCCTCGGCCCGGTCGAACATGCCAGAACCGGAGCCGTAGATCCGGAGGAGGACGCGGTCAAAAGGACCGCAGGACACACGAAACACCAGGTTGGACCACGCCACGACCAAGCGCTGGACGTCTACAGATTTGGACCTCCAAGCCGGCCGGGCTTGGAAGACCTGCTCCAGAAAATAGGCCGGCGTCATGGCGCCCACACCACAATGGCGGTCTGTTTTTTGAGGATATCCTTCTTGGGGAGCCGGTTTAAAGGGGAACCACAGAGAAAACCAAGTTTTGGGGGTCCCCTAGCTTAAGACCCACCCAAGTTCGTATCCGAACCAGCCCTGGGAGCAGCAAAAGGATCCAGCCATCGATCCATGCGCAAACCGCAAACTGCGCATCCGCCTTCAGCTTATCCAGCTCCGACTCAGTCAGCCGCAAACCTGAGCACATCGACTGAGTGCCTGGTCCCCCCTACCCGCACTCAAAAAGAAATGGAAATAGCGTGGAATCGTTGCTCAATAGACCGAAGCCCTGGTTTTTGCGCATGCGTGTGTCGTTCGTGCACCTGTTTCGGTTCTTTGGCTGAATCCTTTGCCTGCGACTGCAAAACTGTGCCACTGCCGGCCTGCCAGCCTAAAGGCAGCCTAGCAACCCTCCTTGGCCGATGAGAGGTCACGCTGGGTCTGCAGCAGCGATGCCTTTCCAACGAAACCAACGCTCCGACACTCGAAATGTCTGGCGAGGACTTGCCTTGAGGTCCGAGATCTCGGAGGTGAGTGAATCAACCTGAGCGCGTCCAAACTTTGCCACGGCGAATCAGCAAAATCACAATCCAGCCGAGCAGCCACCTGCTGCTTTCCTTCCAAGTCCTTCTTGGAATCCGTCTTAAACCTGGCCAACCAGCCCACTCACGCAAATATTGGTGGTTTGGTGGTTGGGAGTCGTTTCCCATTTATCCTCTACAAGAACTGGCTCAAATGTCCAAACCAGAAAAACGTCTTAAACCTCAGGTTCGGGCCAAATTGACGTGTGCCTTTTTTAGGTTTTCCTCTTGGCTTCCCCTTAAAACCAACCAAAAACGGGTACCAAACACAATCCGAAAGCAAAACACAAAAACACAATCCAACCAAAAACGGGTACCCAAAAAATCCGAAAACAAAAAATAAAAACACAATCCCACCAAAAAGGGGTAATTACCAAAACCAAAAAAATACCATCCCAAGTGCGCCCACGCTGCTTGTCAAAGGCTTCTGTGGCTTTCTCCTCAGCGGCCTTTGTCTCCGCAGCCGAGCCTAGAGCAAAGGAGCTGCGTCGCTCAACAAATCCACGCCTTCCAACCTGCGTCAAGCCTAGCCTAGCCCAAAAATATGGAGGGGAAAGCGCAAAAAATACACGCTACCATGGCGTGATTCAATCTGAGGATTCAAATAATGATCATGACACAAAACCCTTCGTGTGCCCATGATCAAAACTCTTTAAGTGGCTCATGAACGTTGTTCCCTTCCTGGCCGCCTTGACATTGGTGGTCCAAAACCCTATGAACCAAGAACAAATTCCTATCAGATGCCCCTCCTTACCCCTTACCAAATGAATCCAAAATCCGATGCCCCTCCTTACCAGCCCCAAGACTCACCATGGGCCCAGAAGACCCCAACGCCCGGGGCTCCCGCCGGTGAAGTCGTCGCGGAGCACCTCGAGCATCCCCAGCACGCCCTGAGCGCTACATCCAAATCCATCCATCGGGCACCGGCGCACCGGCCCTTTGCGGAGCCCGTGCTCCCACGAACATAGCATTTCTGTGGGGCACCTGGATAAACTTCCGCTTCAAGGGGCCCAGCCACAAAAAGTGGGAGGGAGAGATTTTCTTTTTTCGAAACCCTGGCGGGTAAATGGAAGGCCATGAAAATCCAGGGCGAGATCCTGCTCTGAAAACTCTGGCTTCATGTCGGGGGGGGGGCAAAGAGAGAAGCATCACTTGAGTCACTCAAAACCGATCGGCTGTAAACAAAAACTGCTCTACCCCAACAACCAATGCTTCAAGAACCTACACAGGCGGATATGCGCACCGACGGCTCTGAACTTGGGCCTCAAACCTGCGAGAGGGATCCCTCAAGACTCATTTTTGTTTGGAGCTGCCCGTTTTTCTTGGCGCGGTTTAAAGGGAAACCCAAAGAAGAAGAATCGAAGCCTTTTCGGAAGCCCCCTGTAAGAGAAAAAAACACCCATATGTGTGGCTCATAAATAGATTTCTCCATTTGCGATGCTACAACATCAAAACGTCAACTGTTGTACTAACATCGAAGCGTATCATATGCTGCAGGCCAGCCATATTAATAAGAAAGAGCCCAAGGGGCATGTTGTGTCAGCCTGCGCCGATATCTTAGTTTAACCATCAAAAAATACACAAAGGACATATGCTCCGTGTTGGTAGAAGAGCATACGCCCCTGATGTTTCATGGTGCCCAAGAAACAGCTGGCAGGCTCAAGGCCTACATCCAACGCGCAGAATGTGCGGTTCGTCCGCCTCCTGTACCAAAATCCCGACTTGCAACCAGGCCAGGCGGACACTCGAGCGCTGCTTGGCATCGGCGCTGTAGTCGCCAGTGTTCACCTAGATTGTCCCACAAGAGGCGCTGCGCACGCGTTCAGTCGAGTGGTCTTGAGTCTCCCCTGGTTCATGTCCCTGATTCTGCTTTCGGAACCTGACTGATAAACCCCGGTGATCATATCCAAGCAAATGCCTTATCCGAAAGTACTCCGAGGTGGAGCCAAACTTGAAATGTGATTTTCACCTGCGTGTTTCAGCAACAGGAAAGAGGAAAAACAACGGAGGCCAGTCCATGGACCTTCCAAACCTTCCGTTTCAAACGCCCATGGACCTTGGGCGCGACGTCTGCAATGGACTTGCCGTCCCGGTCAGGGGCATGCTCGCGAACGGCGCGCTGCTGGAAGAAGGACGGCGCAGCATAGAAGTCTTTCCTTGGCAAACTCAGATCACGCAAGAAGGTGCGCCCCGTTGGGAGTTACCAAGGGAAACCGATTCACTCGAACCAGGACAAGTGGACTGTGTGCGATTTCCGCTGTCATTGCCCTGACTTTCAAGAAGGGGTCCCTTGGTTCAAAGACTTCCCCCCACTGACCCCAGACCAAACCGCAAAGACCTCAAAGAACTATGGGGCTTCTTTACCCCGATTTTGCGCTTATTTGTGGCTTTCCCTTAAGGGGTATGTTACAGCAGTCCAGTGGTACAACCCCCCACCAACGACCCCCACTTTTCACCCCCCACCCGTCACCCCCTCTCTCAGTCTCGTCTCAAAGTCTTCAGCGCGAAGTCCGCGGCTTCCACACCGTCCTTGGCTTCTTTCAGGGCCGCCTCAGGTGCAGGCTTGCCGAACGGTGACACGGAGCCGCAACAAAACGGAACACGTCAGTGTGCTGCCTGACCAAAGCACAAATACCCCAGCAGAGCACCAGTTGATCAGTCCGGCAGACACTCTTCCTAGTGAGATGCAAACTGTACAACATGTTCATGAATTCAGAGCAACCATGGCACCACTCAGGATAAACCGAAGGCAATTCCAGTAGGAAGAGTGTTCAGGATCCGGATTTGAGAAAAAAGAGGCTAACTGCTCAAGTTGGACATTGTCCTCTCAACATCTTTGCCCTCCATGCTTGACCCACCCAAAGCTCTTTACGCAGTCTCTGAAACTCGATCCAGCTCAAGTCCTCATTGTGTTTTTGGCAAAGACTGAGTCAACAAGCCCAACAGAGCTGGGCATATGATCACAACCCGCCGTCGCCTCGTTGCCTGCAGACTCGTTGGCACGGAGCTTTGAGGCTTCATCCAACTGACGCGGGCTGAGGCTAGCTGCCTCTGGTGCCGTGTGCATCCCACAAACTGGACCTTCAAGTTGTCTGCTACCAAGAAACAAAGTGGTCTCACAAAACTGGACCTGTGGCTAGCAGCCCACCAGTGCGACCAAACACACAAGGACACTCTCAAGTGAAGCGTTGTCACCTCCGCTCATGCCTCGCTGGTGAGCTTGCTGATGTCCACTGACGTGAGGGCCACTTCCTGTACAAGCCCCAAATGTCTCTGTCAGAGGCCCATCACTCGTCAGAGCTCGTGATTCCCCCGGTCCCAAGCTGCGAACTTCAAACAAAAAAACATGGGGTCCTGGATTTGGCTTTGCTCATGCTAGCAACAAGCCCTCCATTCCTTGTTGCTCTGATGCAAGGTGGCGGTGTCTGTCTCCAGCTTCGAGGTCAGAGTCTCGATCTCCGCCTGGTAAAACGAACGAACGGTTCCGTAGAAAAATATGCTGGGGGCATCAAAGAAGCTCAGAATCCAATGTGACCACCCTCGCCTAACAAGCCCTTGCACAGCGAAATGAAGCATGGATAGACAAAAGAAACCAAAATCTGCCACTGTCAGAAGGTGGTGCCTCTTGCTGAGGAATTTGTTGCTATTCCAACGGGGAATTTGTTTCCACCGTAGTTTTTGGTTCTGGGTTGCTTTAGGCTGATTTAATTACTGATTTAGGGGGGGTGGCTTTAGTCTTGGCCTAGGGTTGGTTTGGTGCTGGTTTAGGTTCGTTTAAGGTCGGTTTGGAGCTGGTTCAGGGTGCTTTAAGATAGGTTTACGGTTGGCTGAAAATTTCTTTAGGGTTGGCTCAGGGTGAAGGTTGGTTTAAGGTCCGTTCAGGGTTGGATTAAGCTTTGTTTAGGGTCGGTTTATGGTTGCCTCAGGGGGAATTGGGGTGGCTGTAGTTTTGGGCTAGGGTTGCTTTAGGGTGGTTTATGGTCGGCTTAGGGTTAGTTTAGGGTTGGTTTAGGAGGGTGGAGTTAGTTTAGGGTTGTTTTGAGGCCGGTAAAAAATACTCACCCCGTCAGAATCTCCTTGCCTTGCGAAGGCGTCTGTTTTAGGGAGGGGGAGCAGTTAATGGAAGAGCCCACCGATGCGAAGCCGAGCCGCACATGTACCGCTGCCAAATTTGCCAGGACTGGCGCTTCACTTCTGAAACCCTATGCATACATACAAACAAACAAACAAACATACATTTACATACATACATATATATATATATATATACATATGTAGCTTCGAACAATTTGGGGTCCATGCAGTGGTCAATGCGGGTGGTTTGCCTGCAAAGCCCATCCAAAAACCCGCGCCCTATGTCTACAAACCCACACTAACATGGTAGCTGTTGTGGCCAGCTGCCCCAAGTTCAGCTACAAATGGGACCCCTCGATGAAGGGAACCACAGTCACAGCTCGAGGGCAATCCTCAGGGTGTGCATCAAACCAAGGTGTTGCTAATTATGTGCCTTTTGCGAAAAGCCTCCCTCTAAAAAAGGCTCAACATGATGTCCACAACAAACATGCAATAGAGGTTTGTCCAAAAGTGCTTGGGGTGGGGATCAGCATCCTTAGTTGTTTTCTTTGCTTGCGCTGGGTTTACCGCTTCTTTTAGGAATTCAGGGTGTTAGTTTGGGGGTTGGTTTCGGGTCCGAACAAAAAATATCTCGAAAACACGCCCCGACCCGGCGCCTGGTACTTGTCCCGGTCCGTGGTGCTCTTCGTGACCTCCTCGTCGCAGAAGGCTTTGGTGCTGGCTTCCTCGCAAGCAGAGGATCCGCTGGGAATTCCTTGGGGTGGCGAGGCCTCGCCTGGTTTTTAGGGAACCTTCAAGGGAAATCCCTAAACAGTTTTTCCTTCTGGGGTTGCCTTTGAAGGGAAATCAGACGGAACACCGGGCCATTCCGGGGCTCCAAAATAAAGAGCGATGTGGTGGGGTCAAGGCTGGCTCAATCTTGACCGCTCCTCCTTGCCTTGGTCCTCGAGCTTGGTCACCATGCCTGCGCAAACTCCGCAAGGCGCACTCAAGCCCCAACCGCCTGACAGCAACGCCCTAGAACTGTCTGTGGGAAAGATATCACGACAAAATGCCTCGATTTATTGAGATGTTTGAGAGACTAACAATCCACAAGCCCCTCCATGTGAGTGTTACTCAGAAATGGGAATCGGCCCAAAATGGAACCTTGGTAATGTTGACCCCATAGCAATAAGTATATTTTATGAGGGGGTCCCTGGGTTTAGTGGGGATTGAGACCCACCCCGACATTAAAAAACAAAAAAACTGGGGTTGATGAATCTGGGGTCAACCTTAAGTGGAAACGTAGACAACACCCTCCGGTCCAGCTCTGGCCTTTGATGAGCTCCCGCACCTGCCAAGGCTCGGACAGCTTCTCAGACAAGCGGTCCCACGAGATCACGAAACCCGAGGTGGCGCACAATGTCAAGCATACAGGGGGGAAGCGGGAAGCCAAATCCCACACACACAACCTTGCCCATTGTTGCTCCTTGCCCAAAAACATACAACCCAAAACTTTTACAAGCACTAACGACAAAGACCGGAGAAACAAAAACACTTTCAACTGCGAAGCGACCTCCGCAGCTCAAAAAAGCGAACACACGTCGCCCTCCCCACGGCCCCCGCCGCGGGACGGCCCCCCGCCCCCGGCCGTGGCCAGGGGATCCTCCGCGCCGCTGGCGGCGCGCACGGCCAGCGACAGCTCCGGCAGCTGCACGCGGGCCTCCAAGTCCTGCGCGCGACTCCAAAAGCACCGAGGGAACGGCTGACATGGCCGGGTGACATGGCCGGAGACACCTCCTTGCTCTTGGCGGTTCAGTTTAATCCCCTTAACCGAGGGCCCGATGCTTTTTGCCAAGAGGCTCTGGCTTTTGTAGAGAGTGAATGGGGTGTAGCCCTCAACCATCAAACCACCAATTCGGCTCGAAACCACCAACTGCTCGATGGGACCCTTTGCTTGGTGGTTCTCAGTTTCATACCCTTGTACCTGGAGCACCCTTCGTTACATAAATTTCCGCCCTTAGCCCAAACGTATTGCAAAACCAGGGGTCGTCACCAAAATATGGTAAACGTACACTTTTTCCTGCTTCGAGCGTTTTTCCCAAAACCGGGCCGGTCGGTCCTCCAAGATGATCGGTCGCTGAATATTCAAAAGGAGCGAGCAGAAATCAAGTGCAAAACGAGCGCAAATATCCGCAAAACGAGCGCAAATATCCGCAAATGAGTGCAAATTTTTTTAAAAAAAAACGTAACAATCCCGCCTTCCTCTGGATGGAAGAAGGGGATGTGGTCGAGCGTTTTTTCGGGGAACGGGCGTTTTTTGGGGGGGTCGAGCAGAAATCGGTAATTCGAGCGTTTTTTTCTCGTACCTACAAAAAAAGGCACGTTGGGTGCCTCAGGTAGGTGTTCAATTTCCACTACATCACTAGAAGTTAAACGTTTTTTAGCAGAGGATCTGGGAGCCCAAAAACACCGCCTTGCAGGGTGCCCTCAAAACACCCCCGAGAGGGGCCTTGCCCCCGAGAGGTTAAGGGTCCCACACCTACAAAAACAAATCAGCTCCCCTCGAACAGTTGGTGGTTTCGAGCCGAATCAGTGATTTGATGGAGGAGTAAACCCCATTTACTCTCCACAAAAGCCAGAGCCTGTTGGCAAAAAACATATGGCACTGATGAATGAAGAACTACTGCACCCAATAAAATCTATGTGCAACCAAACTAAACGAATATGTGCACCTTCTTTTGGGCCCTGGGCCAGTGGGTACTGGTCACTGTGAGTTTCCTTCCCTGTGGGTCCAAGCTATCCCAAGCAACGGCATAGCTTGCAGTCCATCTAAAGACCTCTTGCGGGACTGCCTTCGGTGGGTTCGCTGTGATATGGCTGGCCCAACTAACTGGGTGACAAGGGGTCTTTAAATATGACATATCTGTGAACCTAACAGTTAAACAGTTGGCTCCATCAATTCTCTTGCAAAATCGCGGGGGGCGGTCGACTCTCAACCCTACATCCAGGATTCAAATCTTCTGCAGAATCATGCATTCTAGTACGAGGCAAAGATGTAAAATGGTACCAAACGTTGACCCCGAGTAAAGGGGAAGACCGCCAATGATATGTTTCTTGTTGCTTCTTGCTGTCCCTCTTGGGTGGCTCGTGAAATTGTAGTGGTCCCTCTCAGGTTTCTCTTGATCCTTCCTTGCTTGGTTTCTGGTTCGGCTCGCTCTTTGAGCTTCACTTCTGGTTTGCTTCAGCAGAAGATGCTTTGATAGAGGCAAGTGGAGACAGTCCCAAGCATTGGTCGTCTGCTGCGAGTGCAGTACGGCACTCAGAAAAAGCTGGGGCCAAAAGGTGAGAGGACTAGGTGCACTGCTCACACAGCCCCGTGTGCCGCGCTGGCCCCCGAAATCTCCTTCAGCTTCGCCAAAGACGCGCTCCGAGGCGCTGAGGCCTCCTGCAGGAAGGACAGGCTCGCCTGTTCGGAAGCCGACATCGGAAGGCCCCCACCGCCTTTCGTGCGAAGCCCCGCCAAACACGGCTTCGCGGTTCTTTTTGTGCCCCTTGGGGCTGTGGAGACAAAAGGAAACGGGCGGGGGGGGATGAGCACAATAGCATGTGCGTGATGATTGAGCACAATCAGCTGGTTCGGCATCATGCTCAGGGATCTCTTCTTGGATGCAAAAAACCCTACCACTTGCACAAAGGCCCCCCACAGAAACTCGCAAAGAGCCCTGCGCTCGGACAAAAATGGGCCACCAGACTGCCTCCTCCCTTCGGACCTCTTGCGCGGACTCTGTCGCAGACTGCACCTCCAGAACGCTCGCACGGAATTAGGCGGGTGTCATTTTTGAGGGTACCCCACCTTCTCTGTGGTGTTGAAGCGAAACCCCTCCCCCCCAAAAAGGAACATCTTTTCGTCAGGGGTCCCTTTAAAACAAAAAACGTGTTTCTGGCTTTAGAGGCAAACGCCCCCCCCCCTCCCCTCCCAAAAAAACCGGCCCTCTTTCGTCGGGGGTGCCTTTGAACAAAACAAAACAAACATGACAAGCCGCCCCTGAGTCCCCTTCTGGAGACTTCAAAAAAAAAAAAAACTCCTCCAGTCCCAGCCTGAGGCAGCGCCACGCCGCCCGCCGCCAGCTTGGTGATGGCCTCGAGTCGGGTCGTCCGAGGCTGCCCAAAGCAAGGGCTCACTTGCGAGCGGCAAAGCTGGGCCTGAATATTTCGCTTCACTTGCAAGCTACTTGGCTGGTCTGAGCTTGTTGGGTCGGCTGATTGGTTGGCGGATTTTGTTGATTAGTTTGGTTGCTTAGCTTGGTTGATTCTTTGGTTGATTCATTGGTTGGTTTGGTTTGGCTGATTCGGCAGATCCGTTCCCTTGGCCTAACTTGGCTTGGCTTAGCCAAGGCCAGCCACTGCCGAGGCGCCGTGTCCAGCGCCGCCAGCTCCTCCTCGCTCTTCGCCTTGCGCTCGGCGGCCACGGCCGCCTTGTCCACGCAGTCCTGCGGCCCGCCACGCGGCCACGCGCTTGGCTTCGCGCCCGCAAGCCACTAAAGTGGGCGCATCAACTTAAGGATAATGTTGACCACAGAATGGTTAATCCCTGTGTATTAATATGGGGGTGTCCCTTGGTCCAGTGGGGATTTATCACTTGAGGGGAACACGTCGCTACTTTCCAAGTGGGGCGGTCATCCAAGCAGCAGCAACCAGTCGGATATTTGTTGGAGTTGGCCACTCGTGGGCAACACACCAAAGGGATCGAACACCTGGGCCGCAGAGATGAGTCCTGAGTCAGAGACGACAGGAACTTCGTGTCTGACTCCTGGGCGTTCGTCTCGGCCTCAGTTGTCGGGTTCTGCCTCCGCCTTGTTTATTTACTGAGTTGCCCAAAGGACACGGAAATAAAAGGCGATCACCTTTTTGGTCTATCACGTCAAGCCCGCGGTTGTTGATTTACTCAGTCGATCACCTTTTGGGGCTTTGACGAAAACTGGGAACCAAAGCAAAAAACCAAAAGGAACCCAAACGAAGGTGTTGGGCAAGTGAGCGTAAACCAAAATGTTGCTACCTGGCGTCGCCCTACAGTCGGGCCGGAAACGAGACCACCGAGCTTAGGGCTGTCTTGTCCTTCTCCAGCTGTGCCTTTAACGAGGCCTTCTTGGACTTCTTCAGGGTCTTCTCGTTCACATGCTGTCCTGCACAAGAAAAAATATGGCCGGTCGCAACAAAAAAAACACCACCACTGCCAAGCAGTGGGAAATGGAATCCAGGAATCTGTGATACAACAAAAAGGGCCTAACCCCAAAGACTACCCCCCCCGAATATGAAGGGGGAGATTCCCAAAAGTGTCACAGTGGTCGGAGAAACCCCGAGTGATCAACCAGCCGAACAACTGCCAAGGCCTGTGTACTTGATTTGGTGCTCCAGATTCATCTTCAGCTTGTTGAAGGCGCCCTTCGCCTCCTGCGAAGAAGGCACCACCTGCTAAATGTTCAACTTTTTGTCACATGGAAACCAATGGAAACTACCACTAAACCAACGAAAAGCTAAAAAGCCAAACAAGAATGGCTGGGAACCACCAAGAAAACCGATGCGGTATCAAAATGGTCTACCCACCATGTAAAGAATTGAAAGGGCGGGTATCCGCACCCATTTATATATTGCTGGGATTGGCTCAGATTGGCCCTTACTACTCTCCGACCCGGGTTTAGATTCTGAGTCACCTGTGGCACAGCAGGAAAGCGCCTTGCGCAACGGATTCCAAGCCTCCCCCCTTTTAGTCTCCCTCCGCAACCGCGTCCTCCTCTTCCATCTCCAGATTCTGCTTGTTCGCCACGAAGGTGCTTCTCAAGCCCCGCAGCATGGAGACCACATCCGAGGACTTGGCCTAACGTGGACTGGATTCTGGATCGCTCGCTCGCGTGGCCAAAACCTACGTCGTTGCGCAGCCCGCCATCCGCCTTTCGCGTGCTGAAACATGCAGCCCTGCTCATTCCCAAAGAAAGACAACAACAAAGACCGCCCAAGGTCCCCACCCCCAAAAAAAAAACGCTGCAAGAAAGCCGCCCCCCCCCCCCTTTTTCTCCCCCTACCCCGCAAAAGCAGAGGACCCCCCTCCCTTCCCCGCACGACCAGGGGACGGCTTCCGTTCCGTTCCATGGCCCCGCGACCCGTGGCCGCGCCTTGTACTTCGGGGCCGGGGCGGCCAGCGCCTCGAGCTGCGCCAGCTGGGCGCTCGGAAGCTGGTGGCTGCCTGAGGCGCTGGAGGCGCTGGAGGCGCTGGAGGCGCTGGAGGCGTTGGAGTCCGTGTCCGTGTTTTGTCTTCTTTTTTTTTGTTCTTTTTCCTCTTTTTTTCCGGGAACCTGAAAGTGTCCCCCCGTGTTTGTAATTGCGGGGGGGAAGGGGGAAGGGGGAAGGGGGGAGGGGGGAGGGGGTGTTGAAGGGAAACAAACAAGTTGAACACCACCAATTTGGATTTGGATGGTGTTTGCTGACCTCCATTTCTTGCTGGTGCTCAGTAGGTAGGGAATGACAAGTCATGAAGCAAAGGAAACCATGGGGGATGGTTTTTCAGGGGTCATTCCAATTTCATTCCCTCCAGCAAGATTTTACCCTTTGGTACACTACCCACCAAAGGGTTCCTTTTCTTTGCAGGAAACTGGCAAGACCTCAGCCAGGTTCCTGGCAGTGCATGGGAGGGTACCTCGCGTTTATGGGGCCAACATGAAAAAGGTTGGGGATGAACTTGAGGCCTCAAAACCCCCAACTTTGGATCACAGTTAGGCAGAACAAGTGCTCCTTGCGGGCCTCAGGACCCTGGCCTTGATACATCTGCAAGAGCGAATTTGGTCCTTCAACCACGGCCTAAGAATCCAGAGGCCCTTTGAAGGCCCTGCATGGCTTTCCCTCTGCAGCTTTGAGACGAGCAACCATGCAAGAACAAAAAAACACAAGCCATGTGGCTATGGGTCAAAACCCCGTACCCCACAGTGAACATCCCAATCCCCACTAAAATAGACTAAAACGGGTGGTGCACCTACCCCAAAACGGGACCATTGGTTTTGACCCACGGCCATAGGGCTGTGAGTGTCTCTGCAGACCCTGACCATCCAACGGATCATCACTTTCTGCATTCACGTTGCGTTGTAATACATGGGATCACATGAGGAGAACTGGTTCGCTGTGTTGCGCAAAAGGCTCCGAATCTTACAATTTTGGGGTCTTCCATATGGTGGATTGTCCTGGCTATCCGTGGGGTGAGTTTAACTTGGTCAACGTCTGGTTTTCGAAAACGAGGCTCGGTCATCTTCATCTCTTAGAACCAAAAGCCAAGCTCGGAGTTCCCCGTCGTTCCAAACCACCCGCAACACTTCCGTGAAGGCTACTTTGATTTATCATCTTGTGGGTGTCTTTTGAAACCACCAAAAAAGGGTACCCTCAAACACAAATACGGTTCCTCCCACTAACATGGCACCTGACCGAGGGTCCATTGAAGAGGAACCAGATCTTCCGGGTATCCCCCAAAAGTGCAATGTCAGTCAAATCAAGGGTACCCACTTCACCCTTCAGATTCGTTTTTGTTTGGTGGTTCTCCCTTTGGCTTCTCTTTTAAACCACCAACCCACTCGAAGGTACCAGCCGAACCAACTTTCGGACTGACCGCACCTCCGGCCGCCATGAGCTCATAAACCCGCCGCACCGTTGCGAGGCTCAGCTCTTCCTGTCGGATGAAAAGGCACAACCGCGGGTCTTGGAGTGGGTGCCCTTGTTGGTCACCACAAACAAAGGAAAGCCGTGCGGGCATGAAGTATGAACCCAGAAAACGTGATGCGTATGATGTTTGACCTGGCAATTGTGACATCATTTAGGGATTTAGGGGGTTCATGTGCTGGCCACCCTCAAATCATTTACGTGGGGGATTCATGTCCGCCAGCCATATTGCACCCTCTTTCGGGGGTATTTCATGGCGATCTGGAAACTGTTTAGAGGTACCACACATTTGTCGCCACCACGCTGAAACCTCGCGCGGACTCAAAATCAGCCAGACCCCGTCCTGGGCACCGAGCACAGAGTCCCTCGCTTTGTCCAAAGCCTCGATGTGGCAGAAAAACGAAAGCGCGGGCAATGCATGTGGAACCCCAAAAGAAGTCTGTTGAGGGTTTCATCAACTGGGTGCTTTCTCAAACAGCGGCTCGTCAGCCTCCGGAATCGGACCCCTCAAAAATGGTGCGACGGTGTCCTTGTGATTTAGCAACAAAAAACAAAAAAAAGGCTCCAACTCAACAAAGAAAGACAGACCCAAATGGCCGTGGATCAAAAACCTGTACTACAATGGCACCTTGGTAAATGGAACCAGAGACTAAAACCTGCGTAACCCTACCTCTGAAATTTTGAGCCACACCCAAATAGGTACCTACCTTAGACCAGGCACCGCCATGGCATCCGCGATCTCCTTCGTACCGGCTTCGTAGGTCTTCTGCTCCTTCCGAGATGCCCGGCAACCAAACCCAGCCACTCCACTGCCCTTGGGGGGCAGAACACTGGCAAGCTAGCCTCCAGAAGAATCCGCTGGTGTCAAGACACTCACCATGGCAGCTTTCGCATTTCCAAAGTTTCGTCCATTTCAGCTTCCCTCTTGGTGGTGAGCCCGCTGGTTTGGACGTCGGGAAAACTAACTTCCCCATTTGGTTTCAAAAGGGGTTCAAATCCCCAAACCACGAATCCAAACCAGCAAGTAAGGGGAAGCTGAGTATTCTTTCAACGGATTGACGAGGACCGTGCCCTACATAGCATTGAGCCGTGGTTTCTCTCCATGTCCAGCCTCCTCTCTTGCAGAGGTGGCATCAGCCAGCCTAGGCTTCTCAGGATCTCGGCAAGAAAGCCCATAGCCCAACAGCCACGAACCTAGGAGTTTCGCCCAAAACAACAGCTGCTTCAGGTGAAGGCACCTGGGCAAACGCTAATTGAAATCATCCACATCGTGCGCAACTCTCTCAAGTTTCTCCAAGAGATTCTGCTCAAAGACGAATGCAACCCATGCAAAACCATTCCAAGCCACAACATTCACGCCTCTGACTTGGCAAACATGCTCTGCTGGCAACCCAGGAATGCACTTCGAGACTCCTCAGTTCCAAATAATGGCTGTGCCTGTGGAAACTGTGAAGGCAACACCAAACCCGAAAGACGATGATTCCCAGAACGTTGCAAAATGGACTTTACGTGTCCATCACACAGTTCCCTCTTTTGAGACAGATCTGTGTGGCAAACCGGGGGTCCGGCGAAAAATGCAGATCCCCTGTTAGTTTCCTTTCGGAAGATCAAATTATGGGCTATTTGGCACCCAACTACGACACCCATGTGGTTGGCTTCTTTGAGACAAACCATTCTTGGTACACAATCGGATTCCGGGCCCTCTCCCCCGAGGTCCCTCCCAAACAAGCACAATACCCAATAAGTGTGTCAGTCATCTTGGTCTGTGTTCTTTTCCGACCAGTTGTTTTTCTTCTCGGGGAACCATTTTACCCTTTTGGTTTCAAAAGGTGGCCATGAACATCCCAATCCCCACCAAAAAAAAAGGTTCTAAAATGGGCGGTGAATTCACCTACCTAACAACCACAGCCAGGTATCAACAGGACGAGTGGCCGCCAGTTTGGAGGGTCTCTCCCCAAACCTCTTTGCCCCAAGCACCGCTCGCGTCCCAAGGCGCTGCTGGCTGAGCTTGGCCTTCTGCTCCTGCAGCTGCGACAGCTCCTCCTGCTTCGCCTTCAGCTCCTTGTCCAGTTGCGTATGAAGATTCACTCTACTCCGGTGCTGTAGATCCCCCAGCAAAAAGTTTAACTTGTTGCTGGTTACAAGGAAACATGATGAGAATCCAAAAAGCTAAAGTCTAAAGATCCAACCCAATAGCAGTACAGTCTAGGGCTGCGTGTCAGACAGCACCAAGAGGATTTTGGACATGGGACAAAAAAGAAGTGGTTCGGGGGTATTTGTAGTTCATGTTGCTAGGGCTACCTTCCGAATTTCCATTCTTTCCAGGGATCCGAATCTTTTCAGGAAACCATCCAAAAACCGAGTGAAATGACAACTGAGTCATAATCAAAACCTGGTACTAAAATGGTCGACCCAGAACCATGTAAAGAATTAAGAAGGCGGTTGATTGTGGCTCATGAGTGAAACGGCAATCTGTGCTTTCCACCAATGCATGCCAGAATGAATCCAGCGCGGAGAGGGCCATCATTCGCTTGGAAGGGACTCTTTGCAACCATTCTCATGATGGGCACCGCATTTGAAGAAGGTGCGAAAAGGGACAAATTGAAACCACATAGGGGGATCTTGCAAAGATTGGATTTTTGGGAAAATGAACCGCATCCAGTAAAAGGAAAACAACAAAAGAAACATGCCCCCACCCGCGGTGCATGTTAATCCGCACATCGTCGCCAAATCCTTCGCCCTCTCCGGATGCAAAAACGCATGAGGCTTCGTGGTACAGGCTGAAACTTGCGGAAGTTGGTTGGGTGTCTTTGCATTGGGTCTAAACAGTACTCACTGGCTGAGTGGATGGCCCAAAAAGTCCAAGCTGTTTGTTTACCACTAAAATGGTCTTCCCAAAAAGTTTAAAGTTCATGCACTCAGGAAGTGAGAACAGGAAGGGATAAGCATTCCCAGTTTCAAATCCAAACCCCCAAAGATGGGCTCCGGGCACCCAGCCTTATAAAACACGTCTGCCAGAGTCAACAAGGGTAACAACTCCATAAGAGGCACTCGCACAAACAAGTGACAGTGGGTTCATCTCATTGCCATGCTCTGCGTCCGTCTCCTCGGCTAGGACGTCAATGTCGGCCTGCCACTTGCTGATTTTCCTCAGAAACGACGTCCAGCGAGCGAGTGCCGAGTGCCGCCTCACGACCCAGTTCTGCCAAAGGGTTTCGGAGGGGCAGAAGACTATGACTCACCTCCAAGTGGTGCGGTGTTGGCAGAAATGGATGCAATAGGTGGCTTCTTTTAAGGGGACCCCTGGGTTCATTTCCATTCCCTCCCTCTGAGCACCAAGTCACCCAAATGGTCCTTTCAGCCCAAAACCATAATTCTCCCTCCAAACACAGCCGCGAGTATCTCGGCCAAGCTGCTTGCCGGACCTCTCGATCTGGTAAGCCTTCTCATCCCTGAGCAAACTTATGCAGCAAACCCGGCTGAGCTCATGGCAAAGTGTGTCTTCTGGCAACAGAAAATGAAACAATGCTGCGACAGCTGATTGATTGCTTCAAGGGATCCCCCTTCTTGGCCCACCAATTAACCTGGAACCTGACAGGGACCGTCCCTTTAAAAGGAACCTGGTCCAAACCAGGACCCCGCAAAAACTTCAGGTTCCATGCTAATTGGCGAGGTACCCAACCAAAACCACGGGGGGAAGAGGCTGCGAAAGCCACGTCAAATCTCTCAGATCCCTTCGCCAGGCAGCTTCGTCTTCCCACAGAACTTCGCGTACTCCGCGAACTCCGCCTGTCTTTCTAATCGAGCGAAGCTCTTGGATCGAAATTGCGTTCAACAACCGAAATGGGTGTGGGTCAAAATTCAACCACCAGGAATTGGACCGCAGGTTGGAGTTGAAGTTTCCATTTACCAGGGCAAGCCAGTACATATTTTTGACCCACAGCCAAATGAAGCTTGAGGTGGTGTCCAAGATAAAAAAAGCCCTGACAGGAGACCGCAAACTTACTTGCTTCCCCAAACGGACTTGGGACAATTGACTTGCGCCCCCAATCTTTGGGGTAAGTTTGGGTTCTCCCCCCCATGTGCTCCCCAAACCAATCGTAGACTACCGACAATTACATAGTTCGCGACTCACATAACCAGCACAAAACGAAAAGACCGCGAAGGCTCGCCTCCTCCTGCTGGCCCAAAGCTGCAACATCTGACTGCAGCTTCTTCAGCATCTTCACCACCTTCTTGGCTGGAGTGGCCTCGCGGGCTTTTGTGCGGAAGGCGCCGTCTTCGTTTGCTTTTTCTCGCTCGCACAAAGATGCACGGTGGCAAATCTTACACAAAGTTTGCTGCTTCATTGGGATGCATCCATTACCTACAGCACGGTTGGTGGCAAAATCATACTCCCACTTCATGTTTCCTACTTCATTGGGATACATCCGTCACTTACAGCACTCGAGTTGCGGCTCACCCGGGCACCAGGTGTGGCGATCGCAACAAAAGGCATGCCTCATCCACCTTCAAGGCCGATGCGAGCGCCTTGCAAGTCGCGTAACAAGTCGAGTGCATTTGCATGCGACCGCGCGCCCGACATGGCAATGGTTCAAAACCAATGGGGGGGACAGGTGCACCATCCATGTTCGAACCTATTTTAGTGCTTGGATTGGGATGTTCACTCATGGCCACCTCTCTGAAGCTGTGCTTTGAGGCTGCCACAAGTGCCGCCAGGGCCCGAAAAGCGGCGAAGCGCGGCATGGCCTCGAAGAAGTCACCCCAAGGCCCCGGGGAGTGGCATGCGCCAAACTCGATGGGCAGCCTTTCTCAGACACTGACCAAGCGAGCCGGAGAACAAAAAACCATCGCCCTCCAACCTCCAAAAGGATACCCCTGCCGGCGACAGTCCGGGCAACCCCGCTTCGTTGGGAGCGGTTGGCCCAGGCCGAAAGCGGGCCAGAGCGCTAAAGGGGCACAGCGCACGGCGCAGGGCAGATTAGGATTAGGGAATGGACTGGAGGACTTCGGTGACATTCAAAAAAGATGCCAAGATCAATCGCACTCCACCTTGACTTTAGTAGCGCGGGAATGACCCCTAGAAACCATCCAACTGGTGGTTTCCTTGAAGGAGACCCCTGGGCTCATTCCCTCATTCCCTACTGAGCACCAGCAAGACAATGATTGCTGTGCCAAGTGCACCGTGGGGAAAAAGGCCGTCATTGCCTTTTCTGATGCATTTACTGAGGCAAAACGCTTGCAACAATGCCTTGAACAAGTAGAGTCTCGATCTCCTGTGGGTCCAAAACATACCCAACATGCCCCACGGAGCTTCCTTACACTGCATTCCTTTCTCAAACAAGCACAACACCCTGGCAAGCAGATTCGCCAAAGGATAGGGCAACACTTCCATGTTTGTATTTGTGGGAAGACTAGTGCAAGTTGTTCATGCGAAATTTGCTTTTGCCAAAGATAGTGATACATTGACAAGCAACTTGGCAACAAGTCTACACGACTGCCTGGCGCTGGTCCACTGCTCTCCCATGTTTCCCTTTGAGCAACCCTAAACCCTCAACACGCCAAGCCCTGGCTCGCAATTCAAGGCAGAGAGAGAGAGTTTGCGGCCCTTTTCCACGATATGTTCCATGGGCTTTGTGTTGGCCATCCTGCCACGTCAGGTTGTAGGCCGCCCGACATGGGCGTCCACTCTTCTCGAGCTCCAGCACGGCCAGGCTCCACGCGTGGTCGCCTTGTCACTTCAAGGTGCCAAAGATCCAATCCCAAATCCAGAAGCCCTCGCCATAGTTCCTGGCCTCGGGACATTTTCCACATGTGGCATCCAGGTCACTGTTCAGCAAGGAAGAATAAATTGTGAGCAAAAGTATTACTCGAAGAAACAGGGTTTGGGGGGCTTTCGACGGCCGGCCATTGCTCCAAGCTCGCCTTCAGGTGGTTGCAGTACTTGTGGTGCCGATCGTGATGCCGTGGGCTGGCACGGAGTGGAAGGCACTTCAGGGTGATCAGGTTGAGGATCGGGTCGTCGACGCCGCTGTGGTTCATCACGTTCTCCATGGTGCGGAGAGCAACGGTCGCCTCAAAGGAGCAGGGTGAAAGATCACTTGTGCCGGGGTTGGATTTGAAGCAGAAACCGCTTGACGCGCAGGTTCCGTCCACACTCTGTCCTGGAACACAGGCCCACAAGCCACACAACCAACCAACGAACCAACCTACCCAACTCAAAACCCAACCCAAACCCAAACCCAAACCCAACCCACCGAAACCCAAACCCAAACTGAACATGAGACCGCGCCCCAAACCGAACCCACCGAATCTCTGCGCCCTCCGCCCTCCGCCCTCAGCCCAAACCCAAACCAAACGAACCACCCAACGAACCACCCAACTCCATCAGCCCGAGGCTCCACCCCAGCCCTCCGCCCTCCGCCCTCCGCCGAGGAGCGTAGAACACCAGCGGATGGGGCTGCACCACCGCGGAGCTGAGCACCAGCGGCAGCCCCACCTGCAGCGTGGCGTCCACCGGGTCCTCAGCGCGGCGTCCCCCGAAAAACACGCCGCCGGGTTCTCGGAGTCAAACCCCCACAAAAACGAGATGTGCTGAGAAAAACCCACCAGGGGGTCTGTTTTAGTTGAAAAAGATAGATGCATGAGAAGAACCACCTAGCTGTTCGCTGTTTGGCTATGCCAGACAAGCCACAATGTAGCTTGTTCCCACTGGCGTGGGTGTTTCCAGCTCATGGTGCAGTTGGTGGAACCTCCCAGGCGCATGTTTTTTCATTTATGGATGCACACGCAAAAAAGGTGTCGCATGCTGACTACTCGCCTCCACAGGAACTCAACTTCATGCTGAACTCGATGAAACCAGTAGAGCCCCAAATCAGCCAGGACATACATGGCCACGAGGGGCGCGATTCCAGGTGCGGTGGGTTTTCGGACAATTTTCGGCATCAAGACCTTAAATGTGCGAGTGCAAGCTTGCAACTGACAGATCCAGATTGTGTCCGATTCATTTGGGTTGGTTGCTGGGTACTTGGATGCAACACATGGCATGCAGGCAATGCATGTTCATTCCACCAAGATTTGGGCAAGCAGCACTCATAGCCAGCACATTCATCCATGCAACGGGTCCCAAAGTCCAAATCGTCCGCAGCAGCTGCTGCTTGAAAGGAACTTTGCGCTGAGTGCGCTCAATGAGCTCTTCTCTGCTCCTACCATGGTGGTGCGCGAGGCAAAAACCTCATTGTTCAGTCACCCGGAAGTTTTTTGGGAAGGGATTCACCGTGTGGTTAGCAAGGAACCACCGAACAACAAAAGGGAGTGAACGACTGAGGGAATGACTGAGGAAAACACACACCAGCCCCAGAGTATCCCAATCAGCGCAAGTGCTTGTCCATATGATTCCCAAAAGTTCATAGTTCTTGCGTTTTTTTCATTTTTTTTCAAAAAAACGCGTCAATCCCAACTAAACTATATGTTTCAAACACTGCGCACTCCTGGTTCCATCGGTCGAATACTCGACCATGCTCTCCTTGGGAAACCATTTCTTCGCAATGGCGAGCTCCAGAAAACACATCGGAAGAACCTCAGCTTGAGGCTCGTCAAACCTGCGGATTTGCACAAACGTCCAGTCACAAAGCAACGATAGTTGAGGCGTCCGTGTGTTTGCGTTTCTGCATAACAAACATGGGTGTGGCTCAAAATTAACCAGGGCTTTGGTCCATGTTTCCACTTACCAGGGTTCCATTTTGATACTGGTTTTTTGAGCCACAACCAGGTGGGGAAGTGCAACAAAGGAGCCGTTCCCAGCAAAACGGCAAGTCCGCCGCCCGCGCCCCAGCAAAGCCATCTGTTCGCCAGCCACGTCGCCGCGAACTCTTTGCTGTCCGAAAGGAGGGCCATGCCCGGTAGCCGCCCGCAAAGGCTTCACAGCCAAATTGGCTGGCTGCAGTGATTGTTAAATCCGTAGCTTCATCAGTTGCAATCACTTGAAGGTTCACTGCTCATAATCTGATTAGGTTTGATGCCGATGTAATCACGATTGCTCGCAACATGATGTTGCTGTGTGATGTTCCTTGTGTCGATAAAAAAGCTAGCACGCCTTTGCTTGCAACACTTAACATGATGGAAAAAATGGTAGTGGCCGATCTGCGCCATGTGTCGCGGTGATCTGATCTGCACTCAGAAAGCCTGAAGCCTTCCCACGAATGTGCCCGCGATTTCTGACTAAATGAGGTTTTAGCTTTTCTTGCTCTTTGGATCTAAGGTGCAGAGGAAGCTCCCCCACGGCCACTGTCCCCATTTCAGTCAAGGCTCGAGCTCGCAACCCAAACACTCATTTCCACGCGAAACAAGAGCCAGCTGTGCTTGATGAAAGGCTGGAAAGGCTGGTGTATCAAGCACGCCATCCTATATCCAAATGTCGCTAGCGCAGTCAAGCCGGCTGGCCAGCTCGAACCGAGTCAAGTGGTCACCATTCAACATGTGCAACACTCACGCAATGGATTAGTCCGAAAAAGCCCAGTTTCTAGATGCAAGGGCCACTGTTGCCTTCCAGACATGGGGGTCACCAGCCCCAGCTCAGGAAGTGAGATATATGCAAGCTGTGACCTACAAAAGGGCAACAGGCCACTCCCGCACCGAAGCGAGAGAGAGATAGAGAGAGACCTCGCTGCAGCTCGCACCATCTTAGATGGGCACCAAAGAAAATCGCCTCTATGTAGCCCTCCTTCAAATATCACCAGAATTATTTTGCAGTATCGGCGAGAAAAACCGGGCCTTGATCTTTTTCCCTTTTCATCCGCTGCTGTGCTCTGAGCCCGGGCGGGCCAAGTTCACCCAGACATGTTGGCACCCTGAAAAAAATGTGGTTTTCCTGTTGCTCGAAAAAGGGGTAGCCTCAAAAAAATGACAAATTTATTTGGTGTCCCAACACCTAAAACTACAGGACAACAGTATAGACCCTGGGGTTCCAAAGGCGGTTTATTTTGCATGCTTTCTGCGAAAGGCGGTTTTTTGCCAGGAGTAGTTTTGTCAAGCTGAGCGATATCATTGAACAATTCGAGCGCCGCACGTGCTCAGGACCAAAGTGTGCAAAGACTTGACCTCCGTTCCCACAAAACAGCGGAGGGATTATCAAAGGACAGGCTGAAACACATAGATTCACCGGTGTCAAAATTCACGGTAGAAAACGTGCTTTCACGCTGGAAAACAGGCTTTCACGCCAATTTCACGGTATTTTCACGGTGATTTCACGCTACTTTTGCGCACATCACGGACCGCCAGGCCCACACCAAAAATGTTGTGTCAAGACATGTTGGGGTGGAACAGGCTTTGTAGAATCTAAACGTGGCAACAGCATGAACAATACATCAAATACCACGCCATGGCTCACTGCAGGCGCAAAAAACAGGCGTTAGCTGCAAAAAACAGGCGAGGTGCAAAGGACGTTTAAAAACCAGTTGTGGATTTCCAGGGTAGACATCCGCCTCCGGCAGCTCAATGAAACAAACGAAACAACACGCAGTTGACAGCTTCTCTTTCATTGTTTGCTAATTTTGTTGTTGTTTGCTGTGTTGGTTCTTGTGGCATCTTTTGTTTGCGAGTGGTGTGATTGTTGATTGTTTCTCAAGGAGTAAGTTGAGCGGGCTTCTCAAACCTTTTGAACATGGGCTGAGCGAGCCCTGGATATCACCTGTTTCAGCGGGCTTGTTTGGGGCCGGGCGCCCAAAGTTTGCTCGAATGGAAGCTGGCCCATGCGGGACCCTTTCGTAGACAAGGATGCAGGATTGCCTTTAACCAGAGGCCAACAACAACACGAGCCCGAACGGGGCTCTCTCACCCTGCCTGCGGCATAAAGAAACGAGCACAACCGACCCGGGCAAGAGTTCAGCCACATCATACCATTGGTCTTCGCAGCCATTAATAATATTAACCAAACATCTATGCATGAACCAGTCGGTTTACTGAACAAATCCTCAGAATATACTGCTGTGCGTCTCAGGTGGCTTCTTCCGAAGCCTCCTAAACATGCTCTTGCTTTATGTCTACGGTCAAGTGGACTTGTACATGGCTGGTTGTCAAAATGTTGGCTCCCAGTTTTGTAGCGTAAATCGCCAGTCCATGGGGGCCCGTATCATTCGGGCCATATGAACACGTAACCATTGCGGCACAATACGTTTGACTAAGAAACGTGCAAACCACTGACAGGCGTACTAGCGCGGGCCTTTTCTTAAAGCTGCTGCAATAGGATATTTAAACACACAATAAATCCCAACGTTCTACACCACATCTTCAGCAAGTAGCAAAACGGAAATGCGTACAGTATATGGCTTTACTTGGCCTGACTACCAACTACAGCTAAGAAACATGCAAGTGGTTTCTTGGGTATTGCCTCCAACCAGGCACGTGCCCACGCGTTCAAGTTGGCAACTGCCTGCTAGCGCGGCGCTAGCGCGGAGCTAGCGCGGAGCTAGCGCGAAAAACTGCCCATGTTTTCTTTTTTTCGCAGGGTCACGTGTCGCAAGGTCCGATACAGATTTCATGACAGGCGTAACGCTTTCGGAAGGGCAGGCATGGCAGGCGCGTCACTTTCGCAAAAGACACGTGCAGATCTCTTGGCAGGCGCAGCACTTTCGCGTTGCGAGCAAGGAATGCCTCGAGCGCTGAGAGCCACCGGACAGAAGGGCCATGCGAGCGCATCTCACGTGCCACGTCAACTAACGTCCCCGACCTAGCGCCGAGCTAGCGCGAAGCTAGCGCTGCCAGTGGGATTTGCATTATTTAGGTGAGGGCCCGCTTCATGTCGAAAAGGAAAAACAAGATGCAACAGGAATTATGAACATACTGCATATAGCTGCTTAGCCGGCCTTTTTGAACGGAAGCCACATACAGAAGACATCGGGCATTCGCTGCGGGCGTTGTGTTGTTCCTAGCCTTTGTGTTTGTTTGTTTGTGCGTGTATCTGCGGTTGATGTTGTTCGGTTCTTGATGATCTGTCGTTCGGACGTTGCTCAGGGCCTTGTCGCACGATGTTCGTAGCCTTGCTGTGATGTTCTCCCTTTCAAAGAGCGTCAGCGGCTGGAATGGCGATCTCAGCATGCATATTTATCCCTCAGCCGCCTAAGCCAGTGTTGCATGCACCACAAAACACGAATCCGACATTGCAGGACACATCCAAAGACCACCTGCTCGACAAGGGGGTTCTCTAAAGCAGGCAAAAGTGATTTTTCCGCTGGCCCAAACTCCTGAAAGAACCCTGGCGATCTGATTTTGCCCGCCGAAATGCTGGGCGGCCACAGGCAGCTGCATATTTGGCAACCTGTGCAACCACCGTCTTTTGCAGCGGTAGCCCCAGCTTTGCCCGGCTGACCTGGAAGTAAGCTACACATCCGGCCCTTCTGACTTCTGCAGCTCACGGAGAATCTGTTCACGAAGCCCTTAAACCAGTGACAATGGCTGTGCGTGGCGCGTTTTTCGGCGCGCAACTGAAATCGCAACATTCGGCCTGTTTGGCTGTTGCCGCTGTGGAAATGCGAGCATGCCCTTTACAAGCGCCGAAGGAAATCTGTGTACACCTGCCGGTCTCCTCACTGATCAGCTTTGAAAGCGTCTCTCATCAAGTCTGAACCAAGGGAAAAAAGACTTCGAGCCCTGCTGAACTTCCTTGAGTCCATCTGTCGCCAATGAACAGGGGCGATTCATTTCCAGCACTGCGTTGAAGCAAGTGCGAGCCAAAACCACGCTATCCCATTTTGTTCGGCTTTCTGGCTTCATTCCGTGCCCTGCAAAGGTGGCTTCTAGGGATACCAACCCCCAAACATAATTGAGAGAACCCCCAACCTCGCATGAACATGGTCTACCCAAGACCATGCAGGGAAAAAGAAGGGTGCACTGTCCTTTGCTGACCTTCACTGCCCTGGTTTTTTTTGGGGACGTGGCTCAGGTTTTGCCACTTTGACCCGCGTCTTGCAAGTCACTGGATACACTTCAAACGACCACAAACAGTGCGTGCCCACTGATGGTGGACTATGACACCCGCACTTGTCTTGCGGCCCAGTTTTTCAGGAAAGCTCAAGTCAGCAAGGGCCAAAGGTTTGGAAAGAAAACCAGCAGGGAAGGCGCACAAAAATTGCTCGTCTCAGCATCTGTGAGTCACCAGCCATGCAACTCACGGGGCCCAAAGTCTTTGGAAGGGATACCTTGATCTTCCACGCCTCAATGTGTCACCGCTTCTTAAGCGTTGACAGGAGCCCGATCAGCAAGTCAATCCCCCTCACTGCCAACCAGTCTCATGTCCATCTTGGACAACTTTTGGGCGGTGGCACCAGTGTCTCACACAATGCAAGCAACCGGCCTGCCGAACATTGCGAAGTAAAAAACACGCAAACGCTGCACGCTCTCTGTAGCAAACGCCGCGCTGAGTTCTGAGATTCCCGGTGCAGATTTACACGCAAAGGAGATGCCATTGAGGCAAATTAAACACCAATCAAATTCTTCACTGTTGCCAACACATCCAGCTGCTTCAATCTCAAATCTCTTTCGGGTCGGATCTGGCACCGGCACTGGTGTCTCAAAACCTGAGTCAAAACTGACACTACAAGTACAAAATGTCGGCTCCTCACATGATGTGAGAGGATGCAAATCAATTTTACACACCTACTGAACACCACAAATAACAAACAGGGTGTGCAAATGTCGGGCTTTTCCAATTTAAGCGTTCGCTGGACTTCTGAACCAGCCAATGATGTGATCCAACTGGGATGCTGGAAAACCTTTGTTCCTGAGAACCTTGCACCATTCCTCCGACCTTCGCTGGAGCTGGTCGGCCACGTCACGGCGCATCTCATCTGTTGGTTGGGCGGAATCGATGATGATTACATCCTCACGGCCCTGATAGAGCTCCTCATATTTCCTAGGTGGCTCAATTGCCTGCCCGCGTAACATGGATTTGGACACGATTCACAGGATCCTAGCACAAACAACAGACTGTCATGAATTTTAGCTATGGCCAAAACGTGTTTTTTGGAGACCGCAAAAAACAATTTGCCAAGATGCGAATGCAAGCTCTCCAAGTACTTTAAAGTGATGTCCTTCTCAAAGAAGCGGTCCTCCTCCTTTGCTCGTTTCTGAATCCTTCTCATTGCCTCGTCCACCGGCAGGCGGAAGTATACCGTGAGCGTCGGCTGGTGGCACACATTCTTCTCCATCTTGCGGAATTCAGCCGCAAATTGTTCAAAGAGGCCTTGGCAACTGGGGGTGACTAAAGTTTGCAGGCTGGACCAGGCTAATTACTTGGCATATGAGTGACTTTTAGTAGGGAACCGCCTCAACAGTGGTTGGCAGACATGAATTCACACCTAAGTGATGTGCACCAAAGGATCCGGGGCCCAATCCCAGCACCAGGTGCAAGTCCCCTCTTGCTTTTCGGCAGTCACTTTGGTCTTGCAGCCAATGCTCTTTTCTCCAGGAGCCCGCTCTCCTGCCAGGGATGCAGGCGTGTTGAAGGCCGACCCGTTTGCTCGAAATTACTGTAACGATCTGGGTTCCATGAGCTTTTACGAGTCCACGTTAACTGACAAAATCGCCAAACATCAGATTCGAACCCTCCTGCAGTGTCTTGCAAAAGACGTGAAGGGACGAAGCACAGCTCCGCTCCGTGATTGCATGCGTCACTCGCTGCGTGGCAATGCCACGATGGTGCGCCCAAATAGTATTCTCGAGCTGAGAAACTGCCTGACAGAAAGCTGGGCGTGCCCTTTTTGCGGTGACTTCGCAGCGGTCGTCTCCGCCCAGCTGAACAATGACAACACAACACCATGCTAATGCTGAGAAGTACCACAAAAGCAGGTTGACATGGGATCACACGAGGCATGCGCAAGAATTATCTTGCCTCGACATAGGGACTCTGAGCTCAGTTCCCAAACCAATCGGTGTGGGCCTTGACTTTGAAGTTTCCATGCCCAGTTCAATCATCAATTTGATTTTGGGCTGACTGACTCCTTGCCGAGAGCAACCCTCCTTGAGCTGATGCCAAACGCATTCAACCGCTCGTGGAATTTCAAGCGGGACTTGCCTCCCTTCGAGCTTGCGACGCAGCGGGCGACTCGGGCATGTTCATGGCTTCGTAGAACGCCACTAGCAAGTACCACCAAGAGTTCTTGGAATGCTTCGCCACGGGCTCGCGGAAGACTTCGACGCCCCGGATCTCGTCGAGCAACGTGGTCTTGCCGCAGCCAATCACCCCATCGCAGACGATGAGGACGTACTTCGGGCTCACCGTCCCAGGGCAACAGGGGCACCACCACGTGCAACATGGCGTAGGGCACCGCCGTATGGGTTCGGATGGCGTCTGGGAGGCCCACTGGGGTGTAGGAGTGCAAGCAATTGCCACCCTCCCAAGCGTGTCAGCCTTCCTTGCAGCCTTTTGAGCATGCTTCTGCAGGATAGCAGCAAGGCGCTTGGTGGGAACCGGGCCGTGAAGACAGTGAATCACCAAAAGCAGCTCAGCTGCTTTCCGGAGTTGTTGGTCTGACCTGCAGAACGGTGCTTGACACTACAGAACCTGAATAGAATGCTTTCCCATGAAGCTCTTATCGAGGCTGTTGGGAGGCTGAGGCATAGCATTGGGCTGAGAGCACAATGAGGCATCTCCATGACTTCATCAAATGTATCAAATTCTATTGGTAGCACAGAAAGCGATCCTGAAACCCATTTTCCCCAACGATCATGGTATGCTTAACTGCTTAACTACCCCCTAGCTGACTACCCCCCCCTCCTGGAATTAGGGATAGCCCCTTATTAAGGCCTTATTAGGGTCTTAACAAGCCCTTATTTTTATGTCAAATTAACTTTGGGGGGGGGGGTAGTTGGCTAGGGGGTAATTACACATGCCATGAAACGAGGATGGCGCACCCCGCGCCTTCCCAGACTCTGTCTGATCACCGCCACCAGACTCCCAATCTCGCAGGGGTTGTCCGGGTCAAACTGCGGCCGACAGCCGAGGGACAGCGAACTTTCGATGGTTGAAATGTCCAGGTGCAACTTCTGGATCCCTTGGCTGCACAGACTTCCAAGCGTGTGCCTCTATGCCTAAACCAAAACAACAACCTGCAAACTGCAAACTGTTGAGAACCGCAAAACAGAGTCTGTCAGGCCTGCCCAGCAATGTCTGAACACAGTGTTTGCATATATCCGTCCGGCAACTTTGGCAAGACCTCACCAAGTCTTGCCTTTCACAGAGATGACAAGGCGGACCCTGAAACCACCCAGAACTGAGCATGTGCCCCCAAGGGCACGCGGCAATTCCATCTTTGTACATGTTCCACGAGGCTTCCAAGCCCTGCCGAAACGGCACCAGCTCTGCTTGCAACTTCTCCTCAGCTTGTCAGCTGATCCATGGATTCAAACAAAACTTTACGTTGTCAGATTTGCATTTCTTCCACACACACACATTTGCAGCAACTGGTGAACAACCAAGATTGTCCAAGCTTCCTTCTCACCTCTTTCCTCTAGAGACACACTCTCGGACTCCAGTCCCACGATGGCAGACACAATGGAGCTCTCAACTGCGCTGGCATGCGTTGGGGGGACAGAGATGTCCAAGTGCTGCTCAAGGATCCGAGCGAGCTGCACTATGACTGAGCACTGCTGGATTTGCATGTCGGGTAAAGCCACCGTGCTGGCTGCAGTCTGGATTTGAGCGAAAAGCTCACTAACTGTGGTCCCGGCAGGAATGGGCACATCATCGATAGATGCGGACCCAGAAGCGATATGATCACGCTGCAAACGATTCAGCAACTTCTGTGCGGGCTCTCGGATTTCTTCTAACAGGTCTTGTCGTTGGCGAGAGTCATCCAGAGCGCCACCTGCCTCGGCCGTTGCAGCAATTGATTTCATATCCGCCCAGTACTTCTCGCGCTCACGCCGCCACTTTACCCACGATTCCGGCAAGTTTGCCATGCAAGGCTTTCAGCAGCCGCGTCAGCCTATGGGCCTTGCCTTGAATCTCAAACTGCGGCATGTGGCAATCGGCTCCTTTCCCCTGAATCAAGTCTCACCAAAGAGTTTCCTTTCCTTTGCCCAAAACATTGGATTCGATGGTCGTTTATGCTGGGCCTTGCGTACGCAATCCAGCGAGCTGCCTCCTTCATCTTATTTGACTTTGGAAAGTTGAACCCATTCTCCAAAAACCCAAGGGCCTGGTCACGAGGGTGGGTTGTACGCCAAATCCCCATATGCATTGTGGTGCTTCAACGGGAAGCACAAAGTGTCAATAGGAGCTAACGATGCAGCATACTAGGTTACGCTGCTAAGCGCGTGGGCCACAACCGTCTGCGTGCAAACTATGTCCTTGTTTGAAGAAACACATGAAGCACGCAATAGTGACATCTTTTTGTATTGGCTCCCGTGTCAACTGCAAAGCATTGCAAACAAACAGCTGCTCAAGTTACAATCGAGTACACGTTCACACTTATTTAAACGTGACTGGCACACGGCAATTGACAAACACTGCACTGGGATTCACACAAGTGGCACCACATTTCATGAAGATTGGTTCGATTAGCTTAAATGATGAATTCATTGAACACGGACGGAACTCATCTTTTGGTTTGTCTACTACACTCAGACTATTGAACGCATATATGTGGTACATTACATGTCATATGACATATGAATATAGTTTATTCGGTATCATGTAATCTTAGGCAGTACGCACATGTTGATAGAAATCGATAGCATATAACATGAAACACATTGTGCGAAACAACCCGCATCAAAACACACACACAATCATAGATATGCCAAGCACAGCGCGCACACTATCTGGCCAAGCTCTATGTTCTTTGTGTTCATGCTAACAGACCAAACCATACTATTGGCTCACCCGCCTTCACAACTTCCAGAATTTCAAAGTATCCCGCGTATGCATTTAGATACATGGGCTTCCAACAACATAATGGTGAGGTTAGCCCGAATGCCATAGTCAACATATAGAACCATCATCAACAATCATGTAAAACTCATGGAAGCAGGCTTAAACAACTATAGCAACTCAATCGCAACACACCAAATCAGTACGATCAATGCATTCACATCCAGGCAACAAAAACTGCTTGCTAATTCCATCCGTTCTAAATGACTTATATCAGACACTTCGTATTTCATCCAAGTAATCCACATCGCGCCCAATTGTTGTTGACTGCCATCAATCCTACGTGTGATTCCCTTCAGCACGCACACACACACTTCATCTCCAATTCGCAACTTTGGACCATCTGCCCGTTTTGCCTCCTTCGCTCCATGCTTTTTGGCTTGTGCCGAAAATTGGTCAGAAAATGTCATAACCATCGAGCCCCAGCCCCCAGTGGCCATGCCACAAAACTGGGCGCCACTGGAGGCACGGGCATGCCCTACGTGCCAAGCACCGAGCTCGAGCTTTCGAGTCACGGCTCACGATTCACCTCAGGGTTGACATGTTCCGGAGGGTTGAGGCTTTAGACTTTCAGCGTTGCAAGCTTCAAGGATCGCAGGTTACAAAGGAGCAGGGCAATGTGAGCACTCGCAACATCAGCTTGCTGGAGTGGCCACTTCTTGGAGTGGATCGTTTCTTAAGTCCACCCTCCATTTGCTGATTTACCCTGGAAAACATAAACACAAATTCCAGCAGTGATAGATTCCCTTTAACACCAACTGGGGAAAATAACACATAGTCATTTCACCAAATGGAAGCCACCGGAGACCAAATGAAGCAAATCAAGCGTCAGCTGGGCAGGACAAAAGCAAAGCAGCTCCGCACACTCCGGAACGCCAAAGTTAGAGAACTCACCACGCATATGGGTCTGGCTCAAAATTAAATCACCAGGGGACCGCAGGTTTTGGTCCATGTTTCCACTTACCAGGGTCCCATTTTGGTACCAGCCATATGATCAGCAGCGTCACAAATGGATAAAAACAGGCAGTGGGCGTCTATCAACATGTTTTTGTTCTTTCTTTTTTTCAGGTTTTCCTCCAGTCCAAATGGCTTCCTCAGGCACTGGCCAAACAAAAGGGGGTCTCAAACCAGTTCAGGTTGCCCTTTGCCCCACCACCCCATCCTCGCAAAGATGCCATAATGGAAGACTTGCCTTTTATTGGGTTGGGGATCATCCACCTTACAGAAACCAACCCTTCTCAGTGGTGTGTTCTTTTTTGGGAATCCTACAAGTGTGACTTTAGCGAATACAAAAGTCTTGGTCTTCCTCACGTGCATGTGTTTGAGCAATCTTGCTCCCGTGCCTGCAAGGGCTCCCGTTTCCAAAAACCTAAAACCCCTCGAAGAAAACCAACACAACCAAAAACACCTAACGGCCCTCAGGGAAATATGTTGGCAATGTACCCAAAAGGACTGCCATGTTCAGAAAACCCAAAACAACTCGAAGAAAACCAGCAAAGCAAAAAACACAAAATCCTGAGGGAAATATTTTGGGCATACCCAGTACCTTTTGTCTGGGGGATTGTTGTTTGTGTTTGTTTGCTTTCCTCTGGTTTTCTTTGGTTGTTCAGTTTGGGTAAGTTTCCTGGCAGACTTCTCTTTTTTCCCCGGCATCGGATGCTGCAAAGACGCAACTAGGTCCTTTAGATTCGCACGCTAGAAACAATGTGGCTACCCCACATTAACAGAGGCAGGGGAGGGGACAACGGGTGACGACTTACGGAAATACTAAGGGCACTGAGGGGATGTTTGGGAAATATTAAATTAATACTAAGGGAATGCCAGGGGAATCCTTGGATAATATAGTTTGCTAGAAAAAAGCGGAAGACGCAGTGTTGGAATTCCTTTCAAACAAACATGACAGTTGCTTGTCTCTCATGGTGGAAAACAGTGTTACGCGCGAATTGCCACTCAAGGGGCTGGCCTCTCCAACCTCAGGGAATCTAGACGAGAAGGCTTCCCAAGGAAACCATGAACACGGAATCAACTTCGGGGTAGAGACAAGAAGCACTTTCCGACTCTGCTTCATCCGGGGGTCACTGGATTTTTCCAATTCCAAAAGGTGAACATGACCTCTGGCTTTTCCAGCTCGTGAAACTGCCACTGTCGGGCCAAAGGACCAAAAGACAATCAAGAGCTCACCTCTTGGGGCCTTTGGCCAGAAAAAAGGGCTAGCCATTTTTTTTCGGGGGAAACCAACAGGGTTGGCCACTTTTTTAAGATCTTTGCCAAACAACGGGAAAACCCATTTTTGAGAAGACCTTTACAAACAAAAAACACGGTTGCAGTGAGTTGCCCTTTTTGAGAGAACACCCTTTTGGGTCGATCGTGGTCGTACTTCGCTGTGGGCTCCTAGTGGTTTTGGGAAGACCAAAAATGGGAAAACCATTTCTGGGAAAACCCATTTGGTTGAAAGGTGGGTGTGGGTCAAAACAGGTACCCAAATTGGAACTCTGGAAAAAAGAAAACCAAAGACCTATTCCTGTCGCTTGGTGGTTTCATTTGACCCATCAGCTTCGCTTTCATAGTCCTCGATTCCGCTCTCCGCTCTCTCCGCTGCGCCTGGCTTGGCGCCCGTGGTGAGCTTCAGCTCCGCGATGCGCTGCCCGGCGTCGTACTTGGAGATCTGGCCCGCTGGAGCGGCAGCGATGGGACCGGAGTGACCGGAGCCGGTGGCGCGTGTCTTTGGGGTATGTTTGGGAGGTGGTTGAAAAAGGGATGGTGGTTTTGCTGTGTGGCTCTGTTTTTTTCTTCAAGGGATTGAAAGGTTTCTGCCTTTTGTTTGGATTGACAGGGAACAAAAAGCTGCATGAAAAGAGGAAGAGCCCTTTGATTGGTTGGGATACAACCGCAGAAAAGCTGAACCTGGCATGGCACCAGGTTGGGGGAGGGGTTCAGTTAGGAATACGCATGAGCCAGAAAAAAACAAAAAAAAAACACCTGTCAACGCCAGCCCAACATCTTGCAAGTCTATTGGAGTGTCCCTCCAACTTGTGCCAACATGTGGCATGTCTACTGCTTCCATTCAAATCCTGCCAACATCTATGTTTTCTATGGTTTTCTCCTTCAAACCTGCCTGGGGGGGGAGGTTCTCGCCCCAATCGTGGGACATTCCAGCCACGGGCCAAGGTGGGTAATATTGTCAAACAAATGCCCCTGACGCTGGCCCTCGCATTGAGGCAAAAAGGCCCTCGCTAGGCAAAAGGGAGAAGCTAAGCTCCACACAGTAATCCCACCTTGAAACACCAATCCCAAAATGATACCCCATCTCAGCTATCTCAATATCCGGCGTATTTGTTTTGAGTTGGGCTGGATACTGTAGGAAAACCTGAAACCCCATAGGCCGAATCACACGGACACCCACAGAGTTTGCCGCCGCTTGAAACTGGAGGCAGGGCTCTCAATTCATGTGGATGAACCAAGCCCCGAGTGTGCCTCAAAATTGGGGGGGAGGCCACCAAAAGGAGTTCGGTGTTCTCCTTGGTTCGCATGTACAACCACCCCCCAAAAGGCCACCCAACAACAACAAGACACACCCACATGCTAAACCATGGCTGCAACCTTAGGGGACGGATATGTCCATGGGCCGGATATGTCAGGCAAGTGATTAGACTGGACAAATCACCTTAGGGGACTGGAAGATATGGCGTTGGAGCCTCTTCTTTGCCCAGTTGCGACAGCCATTTGGCTCTTATTTCGCTTGGGTCTTTTGTGTAGCGCTGTGCCTCTGTCCAGATGCCAGGGCCGAAGAAGCGGTCGCAAGCCACGATCTTCCTGAAATCTTCGCAACTCTAAAACCGGCTTGGGATCCCTACAACCGGCTTTCCCTATGGTTTCCCCCTGCAAACCCGCCTGCAAAAGTAGGTCACCCTCGACAAGAGCCATCGGCTTTGAACCCGCTTTCTCTCAAGCCAAGAGGCATAGGATCGTTCCAAATGGTGAAAGGCAAGTCCTGCGCGCGGTTGAGAGATGCAAGCAACCGAACAGCCAGAATGCAGCTGAACAGCTGACTGGATTTCTCGAGCTGCGATTCCCTGGTGAGTTCCCATGACACGGCCACTTTTCATTCAGAATGGGAAATCAAACTGAAGGCTGGGCAAAGGTCAGTCCTTGGATTCAAAAAGCATCCTGAAGGCAAGCTCCCCATTGGGAGCCTTGGCCTCGATGATCTTCAAGAGCTTCGGAAATCTGCGCACGGCTCGGTCGAAAGGCGGCCCACGACAGGGGAAGGGCATGTCCTATGACCGTGATTCTCTTCGGACAAACAAAGGACACAAACACCTCCACTGGCTTTACCCTTGCACCCAAACCAAACTGCTTTCATTTGTGCGATTCCAAGACCTCCGCCACTCCAAGCTGTGATGTTTGCGATTCAAGACATGTGGGTGTAGGCATCTGCTGTTTCGGCGCCGCTGGCAAACTGAAAGCGAATCAAAAGGAGCCCCAACCATTTCGTGTGGGCCCCAAATCAAGCCGACGCATCGCTCGCGCCTGCCACCAGTTCCCACCAGGCCAAGAGCCTTCAAAGAGGAGTCCAGGTGGGCATCGTCACCTGCCGCGCAAAACGGCCTCGAATTGCTCACAGACTGGTTGGTGTCTGTGAGCTTCCCTTTAACATCGTGAAGCGGCGGGGGGGGCTCTATTTTGAGATAAAGCACACTAAATCCTTCGTGGATTGACAGTAAAGGCCCAACAAGGGCCATTGGATCGCCTAACGCTCCCCTGCCATGTAGAGCCAAAAAGTTGAAGCAGGCCAGGCAATCCGTAGCGGTGCCGGGTGACATCATCTTTCACCTGCGAGGCAAACAGCTGCACCTCTCCTCTGAGTTTGCTGATTGCAGCCTTGCTCCCTCTGCTGCCATGTGGGTCTTTGTGTCAAAGTAGGGGAACCCGAAAATGCGCTTGGGTTTCCTCTTTCCGTTTGAATCCCAACCGACCGGGGTCCTCTTCCCATTCTCACACTTCCACGTCGCGACATCGGAGTCGAGACGCCTTTCTGATGGTCTTGGTTGCCTTCGCCTCAAACAGGCCCTCGGCCTCGGTCAGGATGCTTTCTGCTTCTGTCAGCCCTCGATTGGTTTGGTTTAGCGAGCTCTTGATCAAAGGAAACCAAGTCCGAACCCTAGTTACCCTTTTTCAATCCCTCAGGACACTATCATAACATCCACCAGTTCAAAGGGATTGAATATGTTCCGATATTGATCTTGCAGTTCCACGGGTCTGTGTCAAAATCGAGGAACCCCGAGAATGGGTGATTCTCCTTTGCAGGGATCCTTACATTATACACCTGAACATTGCCTTGTAAGTGGTGGTTTCCCTTTATTCTGGTGGAAAAAGCCATGTTTCAAATTGGCAAAACATATCTTTTAAGGAGCCCTCCTTTGGGCCTCCCTTTCCAACCAGCCCGGAACGCCCCAATCTGTAAGTTGCCATGCGCTTTGTGACGGTGCGTGGCTTGGTTTACCCACCGCAATGGTTTTCATGCATAGACTGAATCTGAGTGCCTGACGCCTGGCTCGGTCTCGACCTGCAGTGCCACTCGCGACACTTGTTGTTGGCAGACTCTGCTCATTCAACCCAGAACACCTTTTAGAGGAATCCGGTTTTTGGGGTTCTCCTTTTGGGTTCCTGCTGCAAATTTGCAGTTTTTTTCATGTTTAAACACCGCCGCACCAAAAGAAACCTCTCACCAACATGTGATGCTTAAAACCGAAAGGGGAAATGTAGGGAGCCTTGTTGATTACGAAGGCTGTCTCACACCCCCGCAATATTGATTGACCAGAAAAGCCAACAAACAACTCATGCAGGTTATCTGAACTCGGGCTGTAGTCGAACATCAACCTTCACGCCTTGCCAGAATCTTTCGCAGAGGCACAGCGAATGCCGAGCCCAAATCCATTCCTGCTGGGTGATTTACAGGGCGTGCCTTTTTTAGAGAGGCTCTGGGAACGCACGCGGAAATACTCTGCAAGGTTGATTTATCGGTTGACATGAAAGTCTTCGCAAAGTTCGCGCCTCCACTGGCAGCAGCTCGGCGTAAAGCAACGCCTGAAGTGGAGGCGATCAGGGTCTCACATGCTACAGACCGAACACCCCCATCCACGCATCCGGTCATCCATGTATCCATCCACGCATCGATCCATCCCCTCCTATTTAAAAGAAGTTCGGTGCAAACCGTCCTGAAGTTGCCCAGGTGGCCCATTCGCAGGCCATGGACGTCTTTTGGGTTGCCCTTCAACATGGTTGCTCCAAAGATGCCGTCGCAAGGGTGACTGGAAAAGGAGAACCAAAAGGACCCAATACCGATACCGATCTTCTATAAGCTTCTACCCAACAGTGGTTTGGACATTGTTTTGAGGCTTGGAGCAACCATGTTCAAGACGTTTAACGGGTTGTAAACAGTTCCAGCTTGCACAGGGCAATCATGTTTTTTGCATCCGAAAGGAACCCATTTGTTGGAACCCATCCAACAAGCCAGCCAAGACTTGCTGGCTCTCAGGGAATCAGCGAGGGTTTGGGGAGAATGGATCCCGAAGGAAACCACTGGGAAAGTTCAGTTCGGGGCTCCAACTCATTCACCGAACCATAAGAGTGACTACACATTGCAAGCTCGTGACCATGAAAGGCCATAACTTGCTGGTGCTCAGCAAGTACATGAGGGAGTGACCCGGTGACCCCCTAAAAACCATCCAACTGGTGGTTTCCATTTTTCGGGCACCCCCAGGTTCATTCCCTCTTTCGCAAGATAAGCCTCTTGCCCAAAACTCGGTTGCTGTTGACCCATGCGCAAAAGTGTTTAAGTCTTTGTGGGTTTTATGGAAAGCCCAACTTGATTTCCCAAAAAGTTAAAGTCTGAAAGATCCAACCCAATAACAATCAAAAAAAGGTGCTTCCGTCTCGGGTTCTCGGGTTCTCGGGGTCTGGGGTCCAGGCAGCTCCCAGCAGCAGCACCGGCACTGCGTAGATGAAGGTGAGCCCGCCAATGCCACCACCTCGCGGCTCGATTGCGGCTCAACGAACTTCCGGCTAAAGAAGTCCGGGGCAGTGCAACAAAACTAATCCTAGGTCCTCCCAGTAGAGAGGTTAGAATAAGGGTGCCCGATTTTCTCTCTGTAGTCTATTTTAGTAGGGGAACCCTCCCAGCAAAAAAGGGTAAAAAGGCACTACTGGGGGACCTGGCATCGTTTGGGTACGGTTCTTGAAGTTCAAAGAGGTCCGGAAGCTGTGGTGGACGTCATACTTCTTTCTTTTTTTGTGAAAATTCATGTTTGCCAACCACATTGGAGGTGGTTCCCCTTGACAATTCATTGCCATGTGTCCAAATGGAGCAACCCCAAAGTGGAATACCTTTTGGTTTCACTTTAGAGCCACCCAAAACCCCAAAGCCCGAGCCGACTCTTGGTTCTCCCGAAACGGATAGAAAGCATCTCACTTAGGCCTTGCCAGGTCCAGGTCGAGCGGTTTGGTAAACTCGCTTTAGTGGACAATTCACCTTGTTAGTGGGTCGTTGGGCTTGAAGCATAGTTGGGAATCCTTTGATGCACATCATCAAAAGTTGGGATTTACGTCCAGCGAGCCTTTTGGAGGCTATTCCCCGCTCATCATTTTTTGGCTATTTCGGTTCTCAGAATGAGGACATGGACTCGAGTGTCATATGTCATCGTGGCTTCCACGCATTCACCCAATTTGGGGGTCAGTGCCAGGGACGGTGTCAAACCATGGTGCAAACCGCCTTTCTTTTAAAGGAATTGGACCGGGGGTTGCTTGTTTCAACAAATGGAGAGTCTCTCAAATTGGATTCGGACTTCTTCAGAATTCAAAGGAACCCCAAAGGAATTCCTTGCCATTTGAGGCGACCGATTCCACTTTTGAGAACCCTCAAACTTTGTAAAGGGGACCTGGCTGGGCCAACCCGTTGCTCAAACCCCTACTTTCGAAACAACCTTCTTTCTAGGGCTTGATTCCCATTCTTTCAACCATCGTTCTTTCAAAAACCGATCGCTGTTGGCCCAGGGTTTTGGGTGGCTTAGAAAGATCCGGATGCCTGGGTCAAGAATGGAAATGGAAGGTACCCGTTCCTTTTGATTTCCCTTTTCGAGGTCAGGGGGCCTCCGCCAGTGCCAAAGACAAAGTAGTCCCCGAAGGAGACCACGATGAGCACCGTGCCTGCAGTACTCAGTTTGAGAAGAGTCAAAATCAAAACCCTTTGTATCAAAATGGTCGTAATCCCAGAACCATGTGAAGAATTAAGAAGGCGGCCGCAGTTATTTATGGCTGGGATTGTCCCTTACTAACCTTCATCTACCCGGGTTTTGATTGTGGGTCGGAAGGGTGTGCTTAAACATCATCTGGTGGCCAACATGTTTGGCGATGGCATTTGTTTGTTTTAACCATCACCTTTTGACTTCCAACTCTGGCGAGATTCCTTTTGGCAGTTCTGAGCAACGTGCCTGTCGCCAAGGGAGGTTCCCCAACGGTTGGAAGCGCTTGGGTTGCAGCCGGCAACCATGGCGCATTGTTCGCTGAACCAAATCAAAGGATAGGCCCAATGGAACTTTTGGCTTGGGAACCTCCGGATTCGATGTCCTTTCCATCCTTCAAAAAAAAAAACAAGGACACCACGGGGGTTCTTTTTGCGATAAGTCCTACACAATCAAAGGATTTAATCTCTTTTCCCTCTTGATGTCTCTGTCAGCTTCTGTCATCCGTTGGGTTCTCAGTATTTGTCCTTCGAGGGGTTTTTGGGAAACCGTTTTGGGTCCCCGCAAAGGACACCAAAAGTTGGATGGTTCAGTTCGGGGGTCATCTCAATTCGCTCCCGGAATATGAGAAGCAACTCGCTTCCTCAGCTCGGTCCTCAAACTCTGAACACTTTCCTCGACTAAAAACTCGATCTTCTGCCAAAAGGTGATCTAAACTCCAAAAAAGAAAACAAACTCGGGGAGTGAGCTTGCTAGTCTTGGGTGACTTGCTAGGTGGCTAAAGTCCAGAAACTCGGGGAGTGAGAAAATTGGGAAGCTTGTTTTGGAAGCTCCCGAAAACGAACAAAGGCCAGACCCCGCCTAGAACCAGGAAGGCCTGCGCCAAAGAGAAGCCCCGCAGCTCGAAGGGCGGCTGGCGCGTTGAAAAAGCGCTGGACATGAGCCCAGCTCTCCCTCCGTCGCTGGTCCGTGGCAACCGCTTTCTTCTATTTAGCTAAGGCCCCAGGAGAAAATGAACAAATATTTTTCCAGCAGTGATGATTTCCTTTTAAACCCAACAAGGGAAAATAACACATATTCTTAAGCAAAAGGAGGCTTTGGGGGGAGCCTCTTTTTGAGAGGTTTTGAAGGGACCCGAAACAGCCTCTTCTCATCTTAAACCCGTTCAGGGATGCGGTTCGGATGCGTTTTGGATAGTGACTTGGGCGTGTGAACGTGGACAACAAGCCGTCCGTTTAGCCTCCAAATGACTGGCGTGCTTTTGCATCTTTTGAGCTCCCATTTTAAGAGAAACACTCACATAGGAGCTCCAAGTTTCGACCCTCCGCGATGCGCCTCATCCATATCCTCCGTGAGATCAGGGTTGGTCGCCCTGCACAGAGCTCACTCTCGTTAAGTCATCTCAAGTTCTTCTGCCATTGTCTGCAGCGACGACCCAACGCGGTGCCGAAAACTGTCTTCCTCTTGTGATCTTAGGAACTAGCTGCTTGATGGGAAAGCGGATTCCTTGGACGTGCAAGCTGCCTCCCTGTTTGGTCTGACTTCGTTTTTACCGCGGCTTCCAAGTGATGACTCAGAAACAACCTCTCACTTGCCCTTTTCAATCAATGCTGTACATGGGCAGTCAACCAACAACAGGATCGTGGGAATGAGGGGAAAAGTAGGCCATCCCCTATGACTACTTTATCATTGGTATCAAAGAATTTGGTGCTAAAGCCGGCCACATTCTCCGATTATGTTTCATATTTAGTCCACCCTAAAGTATTCTAGGGGTACCTTCCCCATTCTTTCCGGGCATCTTTCGGTGGTTGAAAAGAATGGGGAATCAACCCCTAGATTCTTTCGGAGCAGACCCCGCCAAAAACTTTGGCATCCTCCGCCCTCCCCGCCTCAGGGCGGTGCGGGATCGAAGCGCTCGACGCTTTCGGCGTCGAAAGGCGTCCCTGGCCACCTTCCCAGCAGCGGCGGCCGCGCCGCCGGCAAATAGGCCTGCGGCCAACTGCGCCCCAAAGAAACTCATTACACGCATAGGTGTCCCTTTTTTGAAAATAGATGGCCCCGTAGTTGATTGAACCATCAGGTAAACCAGGAATCGCCCTCTATTTTTAAACCAAATCAACCAAAAAGGACACCTATGATTACACGTCTCTCTGTGGGTTCACAAAATCAAACACAAAACACTGAAAGGCCTCTGTGAAACGATTGGCACTTACCACTACACATCTGGGCGGTCCGCTTTCTGATCTCCTGCGAAAAGCTCAGCAGTTAAAGTGTTCGCTTCTCCATGCTGAAAAAGCGGGGTTCAAATCCCCAAACCACTATTTCTAGGGTCTCCTCTAAAAAGTCTCTTTTAGGGTATAGCTGAAATATGAAGCAGAACCTGAGCATCATACTTTCTGGGAGTATGTCTCAAAATAGGAGGATACCACCTTTTTGGTTTCCCTTCCAACCAATCTGAGAAGGGCTCCTCAACAAAAAGACAAACGTCTGGGTACCCCAAATGTGCGGGTCCCTGAAAACGTAACAAACCGGCAGGTTTTCCTTTAGTCTCCCTTGGAAACCAAGCCAGAAAGGGGTTCCTCCAAAAAGTCAAGCCATACTGTGGGTGGACAAAATCCTGCACCACCTAAGAAACCCTAAAACGATGATTCCCTTGAAAATACCGACGAAAATAGTTTCAACCATGGTTTCAAAGTGATGCAAAATGGATTTTGTCCACCCACAGTATGTGCCAGGAATGCAGTCGACAGCTCGCCAAAAACAACGTCCTGCGAAGCCGCGGCCGATGTCCGAGAAGGCGCCAATGACCTGTGAGCTGGAGGACTTGGGTGATTTGATTTGGAGGGAAAACAAAAAGGACACCCTCTTTGTTTCCCTTTAAGACAAGCCCACTTAAGTGACCAACAGCCTCAGTCGGCTTAGGAACTTTGTTTGTTTCCCATAAAAGACAAGGCCACTTAAGTGATCAACCTCAGTTGCGGCTTTTGGCAAGACCACATAAGTGCGTGGGCCTTAGGCCTTGTAGCCTCAATGTTTTTATCACACTGCCACCAGCTGCCACAACTGAGATGGCTCAGAGCCAGCAGGACGCTTGTCTTGGGCTCTTGGGCTGGGATCAACTTGGAGAGACCCCACACCTCTCTCCCCATTCTTTTTTCCGAGTCGAGGTGCAGCAGCACCAGTTTTGATCTCATTGATCTTGGCCTTGACGTTCCTAAGCTGAAGGCCTAGCCTTTGTTCAAATACTCCATGACTTCCCTGAAAATCTTGCAACTTGAAGGTCCTCCTTGACATCAAACCAGGGAATGATGCCCCATTGAAGGTCCTCCTTGACATCAAACCAGTGAATGATGCTCCAGTGCACCACAAGCTCTCCGAACTTTGACCAAGAAGCTGTGGCTGCGTCACCAGGGACCCTGGATGTTTCAACACCTCGGATGCGCAGCTGCAAACGCTTGGGCCTTCGTGGCTCGCAAAACATGTGCTGTGCCTCTACACTCTAGGCAAACCCACACCCAACAGGCATGTCAGGCCCACTTCCAAGCGCATACCTGAAATGGACCATGCATTTTTCTGGAAAAACACATGGCAAAGGAACATTGGCCACTCAATGGAAGCCTGCCGCAAAGCTTTCAGAGATTGCCACCTCGATACATTCAGACATATGAATTGTACAGTTGTGACTCTTGTGGACTCCATAATAGCTTGTTTTCAGCAGACGGGCATTCGAGAATTGCGCAGCTGCCAAGCTTCTTCCGCCCAAGCAACTTGGGAGTCACATGATGGGCCCTTCAATGTGTCGCAAAAAGCATACAAGAGAGAACCGTGTCAGGCATGTGGGGCATATCACGGCAACCCATTCAAGCCAGCTAAGCCCTCCGCAATGCTCTCCAAGGCATCATCATAGCCCGTAACCTCGCTATTTTGGCAGGAGCTTGTGTGGCTTCACTCTAGCCGCAGCGCATCAAAACCCAGCCCGACCACAGAGCACCCGGCGGTAGCGCAGGGGATTGGTTTAGCCAGTCGAGCAGAGCTTGAGACACGCACCTTGACCATCTCTGACCAGGTTCGCCGGATGAAGTCAGGATCCACAAACATGGGAGTGCAATCCTTGGATCTCAAGGCTCACAAACGCTCTCCCGGCCTTTCAACAACTCAACACAGCATGCGCAGCAAGTGAGCCACGATCAAAACCTGGTACACGAAAATGGTCGCCCCAAAACCATGTAAACAAATCAGGAAGGCGGCTGTGCCATTTCTGGCTGGGACTGTCTCCCACTAGCCTTCATCTATGCGGGTTTCGATTGTGGCTGAGGTATCCAGCGAGTCTTCGCCAAGTTTCTCTCGACAAGATCTGCAGGGCCGTCTCGGAACTGACCTCCCGCGTTGAGCTTACATTTGGCGGCCGTCCAAACCGTTTCACGGGGAAAACTGGACGTGGGCTGCTCAGCCCGTGCCATTTTTGATTGCAAGGCACGCTTGGGCAAGGAGCTTTGGGGGCATCAGCCGTTAGTATGGTAGGCAAGTACCCTTTGTTTTCCGCCTCCTACTAAAAAAGGACAAACCCCAAAAACACAGAAACCTAAAAGAAGCCCCCCACTAAACACTAAAACCACCCCATCCAAAAAAAACAAAACAAAACACACAAAAACACATACAAAATCACTTGCCAAGAACGGGGAAGTGGTGTACTGAACAAAAATGGACCCCCCGGTCGGAGCGCACCTCCATGGTCTCCTTGAGGCGCCGGAAGCGATACTTCACGTCCGCCTCCCTGCAGGGCGTGGTCATGTAGACCTGAGGCCGGGACATAGTTTTTTTCCGTTGGACCGACGCGGGGAATGTGCCGAAAGACTAAGAGTCCTTCGGATGTTGCTTGAACATTTGGTCGATCCCCTCAGATTTGGCTTCATGTTGAGTTTATCCCTTCAGGTTTGGCTTCATGTTTAGTCTATCCCCTCAGATTTGGGTTCATGTTTAGTCAATCCCTTCAGATTTTGCTTCAACTTTGCTTGACACTTTACTTTATCCCCCCTCCCCCCGATTTCCGAAGAAAAAAACGACAAGACCCCAGGTCATGCTATGAAGTGTGGGACACTGGATGCATCCCGGATGCCACGCCTCCCGCTCTGCGGCCTTGGGGAACTGAGCCTCACATCGTGCCAGCGATTGCCCGTGTCGGAAGGCTGGGGACCGCCTCCAATATGGCTGTGGCTCAAAATTTCACAGCAGGGGCAGACCGCAGGTCTTGGTCCATGTTGCCACAGCCATATGGGTCAAGATGACAACCAGAAAACCGCAAGTTCCGATTGGTTGATGTTTTTCAAATCCACCTAGGGGCATCCTCAAAAAATGACAGACCTATATGGCCATAAGTCAAATTCCTAGTTCCCGCCCAGTGAACATCCGATTCAACCCCCACTAAAATAGGTTCTAAAATGGGTGGTGAATTCACCTTCCCCAAAATGGTACCATTGGTTTGGACCCACGGCCATATGGGAATGGGTCAAAATAAAGCCACCAGGAATTGGACCGCAAATTCTAGCCCATGTTTCCATTCACCAGGGCAAGCCACTTGTACATATTCTTGACCCACCTCCAATATGATTGCAATATGCTTTCCAAGTCAATATCACCCATCCCAGTACAGCGAGTCCAAAAAAAACAAGCGAACTCCACTTTCTGGACATGGCCCCTCACATGAACTTCACTCGGCCTCTCTCTCGCAAGGTCCTGCCTGGAAGAGCGTCCAAGCCTCCTGGGCCTCCGCGTTGTCATCCAACTCGCCTTCCTGCGGTGCAAATCTGCCATCGGCTGGCCACTCTCCAAGCCTGTTGCGAGCATAGCCCGGATACGTGAAAGGACCCATGGGACGGTTGGGGCAGGCTCAAAAGCTATGTTGGAGAGTTCTTGGTTTGCTATGTGGGTGTCTTTCTTGTGGCTACCCATGTTTAAGGGGACACCAAAGGGAAACGAGACCATCCTGGTTGCTGGTCGGAGGTCCGTTGCCCGTTTCTGAGACACGCCCAAATCGGCGAAGAAAGATTTTCTCACACTTCGCCTTGGCTTTCTCGGCATCTGCCAGCTTCATCTGCTCCTGGCCATATGACTCTTTACCCAGAGTCGATCCCAGACTTCGCTGCCGTCATTGATCAGCCCTCTGGAGGGTGCCAAAGGAATCCACACAGAAAGCAAGCCGTTTGTCTCATCACTGCCCAACACCATGTTTTCCTTTCGCTCGCAAGCACGGTCCTTCTCGATGACAAGCCTTGCATGCAGATCTGCATAGCTCAAAGGCACCGCTCAAGTCTCATAAAACAATGAGGTGTCTGGAAAGAAACAAACAGCTGAAGAAAATGTGTGTGCTGGATATTAGGGATTCTTTGAGCTCCCCTTCCCTTACATCACTCCGACAGGATACTAGCAAACAGCGCGCTCTTGCAGCCGAGTAGCTGCACCGCCCTCAGTCAGCGCTGAACATGGAACATAGCATTTTGACTCGGTTGCTTTCTGCTCCCCTGCTAAAAGTTTAACTTTTAGTGGTTTAATGGAACACCCTGTAGTTTTCAACAAGTCAAAGTCCTAACATCCAAGCAAAATGCAACAAAGTTGATACTGACGGACTACACGATGCACTCGTTTGCCCTCCATCCATCCCGGTTGCTGCAGGATTTCGTCCATAGTCGGACTCAGACTGAACAAGTCTTGTTTGGTCTTGTTTGTTTGTCTTTGGAGCAGTGCAAAAGAGAATGCGCTTCTCCCTTTCGCTAGTGGCTTGATCGATTTTGCGACTGCCACACCAAGTATCAGCCTTTGGGCTGGGCTGCGTGCGCGTTTGGTTGCAAGGGTACCCTTTTCACCTGTTGAAAAGGGACAGTGAAAGGATAACCACCATTTGGGGTCCTTATTCTGACACATATTGTACTAATCCATTCGCGGGAGAATGCGCGGACCTCCCGTGTCAACCGAGGTGCTGCAGCATTTGAGCGTCCACTCTCGCTCGCCAGCGGACGACTTCATCGTCGTCCTCGCAAAGGCGATCTTCTGCCCACATGGATGACCACCCAACTTGGCAAGTGATCCCCACTTCATCCATCTAAATCCCTCTTAGGGGACACTGGGAATGTGTGCCACGAAGTCGGGTGGGTTCCTCCCCCAACCTCCGATACTCGATGATTACGAATCTTTGTGCAAGGCCTATGATTTTCAAAATGATCGCGGTCAAACGGACCAGACATTACAACAACAGGCTGGCTGATGATCCCAGGGAAGGCTTGTATACAACAAATAGTTTTAGGTATTCATCAGGCTTGTCCGAGTTTCTGGATCCAAGTTGCTCATGCAAGCCATATTTGCAACTGTTGGCTGGGCCTCACAATCAACTGTTTTTGTTCCAGTCTTCTGACCTATCCGTAATGCCGAAGTTCACTTTATCACTTCGGGAGTTCTCCAGGAATTGGGCAGATTAACACGGACTCCCCCAGCAAAACACACATTTTGGGCTTGCGGAGGGGCGCTTTTGGTTGGCAACCATTTGCAGATGCCGAAAATGGCACGGGGGCCCAAGCGAAGGGATGAACACACCGCGGGCATCTCCCGATCCGACGAATTCCTGCTTACGATTTGCTTCGAATGGGCTATCAAAATAGGGGAACCCCCTCAACATAGGGGAACCCCTCGAAGGGGGCAAGCAGCATCCAAGTCGCAAATTCAGGAATCCAAATCACCAACAGCCAATCCAAGATCATCCAAGCCAAGCAAAAACATGTAACATGGAACCCAAAAAGTGGCTCTTGGTTGACGTTGGAAGGGGAGCTAAAATTTCAATTTTAGCAGCTAAGTGGGGATTTCCCACCAAAGCACAATAAGCAAAAATTGGAAAACTGTTTCCCAACAACAACCATGTCCCGCCCTTTTGGGAGCCTTACACATGGCATGTCTTTTCGGCGTTTCGGCTGCCAAAGGCTCCTTGAGCATCCGCAGCTTTTGGTAGAGCCTCTGCGGGGAGTCCCCATTCTCCGGCTCCGGGCTCTCGATGGGCCGATCGGGATCTGCGCGAGGCGAGCTGTGCGATTTTTTCCGCGGGACCCGAGGTCTCAGGTCCTCCAGATTTGAGAGGATAGAGTTTAGGGTACCAACTCTTTTCGGTTTTGTCTATTTTGGAAGGGGAACCCTCCCGCGAAAAAAAATAAGGTCAAAGGGCACTACTGGGGGACCTAGCTGAGTCTCTGTGCCTTTGACTGCGGTCATTGTTTTGACCGTTTCCGGCAGTCCTCAATTAAAGGAGGGGGACTTCAATTTCCCCCACTACTTCGGGGGTGACGTTGATACTGGGAGAAGGCGGGGGCCCGTTTTAGGGAGAAGGGAAAGCTGGGAAACCGAAACCCATGTTGAACCTCCGAATCCTTTTGACACATGTCCACAGCTAAAACAATGTCGCAACAAGGAGCCAAACAAACAAGTTGGTGACAAGGTCGATTCGCTTGGGCTGGTGAGTTGATATTGAACAGGTGCGCGACCCTAGTCCACAAAAGCTGATTGCAGCAATTCTTGATCACTGTAGCTTCCGGTGTGTGATGCCATCTGGGGCTCCCGACTCTTCCTCGCAGTCAGGATGCTGCTCAGCATTTTCTGAGGAAGCGGAAAAGGGGCAGTTCGTCCGTGACTACAGCGCTCAACAGACTATGCACCAAAGCATGTTGTGCTGCTTTTGTTATTGTCCCCTTTTCCGCAGGACCGTGCAGCGCTCACAAAAACGCCGATCCCAGCGAGTCTGAGATTGCCGGCCTTCTGGTTGGCATCGAGTTGCTTCATCACCTGCGTTTCTGAAATCAACATCTTGTGTCGAAACTCGATTGCAATTTGGGCATGGACTTCCGTCACCTGCGATCACAACACTTGGCAGATGGCCATGGTCGGCCTCAGCCACTTCGCTTTCAGTCTTCACGGACTGGAGCAGGCGGTAAACCTCGCATGGTGCACTGATCAAAACTCCAAAGCTTTTATTGTTTTTTCTCACACAAGACACTCCCCGCAAAAACACGGGTTGTACAACCACTTACAAACCCCTTCATGCTTCATGACTTCATGACTTCATGACTTCATGACTTCATGACTTCATGACTTCATGACTTCATGACTTCATGACTTCATGACTTCATGACTTCATGACTTCATGACTTCATGACTTCATGACTTCATGACTTCATGACCATGTCAACACGGAGCAACATGATATATATATATATGTATGCTACCCCCCTTTTCAGGGACCTACCTTTTGGTTGCCTCTCCAGTGCATGATTTGCCCATCTAGGACTGGGAGGAACGATCTCTCAACTAGGACCAGGACCAAATGAGACTAGAACCAGGCATCTCTCAACTGGGACTAGGACCAAACTAGGACTAGACGACCCACCTCAGATTCTTACAAACAAAAACAACTTCAAGTATAACTTCGTCTGCAATGTCCTGTATACTTTCCAAATATTGCAGTAAACTAGGGAGCAACCTAGCACTAGAACCAAGGATCTCTCATCTAGGACCAAACTAGGACTAGACCCTTTTAGTATTTGGATGTTAAGTATTACATTCTGGTGGAAAGAAAGTCATGTTTATTATTTGGTTTGAAACAGAATAACTATAAATCATGATTGGATATTTTCCTTATTTTCTTCTACTGTTCAGTTAGCATTTGCATAGAACTTGATTAATATATTAACTACAATTCATAAGGAACTTCCATTGTATTGTCCCTTGTACGTTCTATTTATTTCAGTAAGCTAGGACCATACTAGGCCTAGAACCAAGGATCTCCCAACTAGGACTAGGACTAAACTAGGACTAGACCATCTAAGAATCTAACTCTAGTTCTGAAAGTGATTGAATTTCAAGTACAATGTTCTATTGGACAGGAAATCGTTTGTAGAATGTGATAATACATATTAAGTGGAAATCATAAGGAAAGAATCCAAAGGTCTAAAACTCGTGTCATTTCACTAGTCCTAACACTACCATGGTTAGACAACACAGTAAAACACAGTGTTGTGTAGTGTGTTTCATACTCAATTCACATCTCCACCAACAAACGCTCGCTAAATGCTCGTTTGAATTTGAACACGATTTAATTGGGACTCAATACGGACATATTTGGTCAGAATCCTAATGGTAATCAAATCTGAAAATTCGAGTTTAAATAGAGTTCCTTTCCCAATATGTACTTCCAATTCAATTAGAGCTTTAACAGGATTTGATAAGGAAAGAACCCAAGCCTGTATTCAACATTCAAGAATCAATATTCTCTAGACAAGTCTTCTTTGCAAACGCGAGTCCAGGCCCGAGTGAAACCCATTGAAACTTCAGTTGAGCCTGGGTTCAAGATTCCCTAGAAAACTTTGGCCTACAATCTTGAATGTGGGCCTAGATTGAAGCAGATTGAATGAATAATCAGGACTTGGATGCTTGCACAACACTGTGCCAAAGTACAGCCGCGCAAAGTGCAATGTTGAATTTGGGTCTCGATTTAAACCGATTTAAACCGATTTAAGTTTAAATCGGGCATGGATTCAAGATTCAAGAATCCAGGCCAAACTTTTCCAGGGAATCTTGAATCCAGGGTCCCATTTAAACCGAGTTAAACCGAGTTAACTTAAATCGGGCATGGATTCAAGATTCAAGATTCAAGAATCCAGGCCACCATTTTTGGAGGGAGTCTTGAATCTTGAATCAATCTTGAATCCATGCTCAGAACGTCCTTGGAAATGCTTCTTTTTCATTGCTCTCCCCAAAGTAGCACGCACTGCAAATACCAGTGAATTCTTCAAAAAGGTAGGTCCCTGGCGGGGGGGGGTACCATAATATACATATATATATATATATATATATTGCGACCGTGGCACTGTCCAAGCACAACTCACATCGCGCCTCTATGACCTTACGGCCCACCGGAGAAACATCCTGCGCTCGCAGCTTTCCCCGTCGAGAGGTGCCGGTGCCCTCCCATGAGCCACACTTCGACGAAGGGTCTTCCCTAGCAGCCTGCACCAAACCCAGGTGAACCACACTCTAATGGAGGATCACATGCCCAGTGGCTCAGGGAATCTACTGTCTTCAAGTATGGAACCCTTGTTGCAAGGGTGGTCTTCCTTTGATTCTCCTTTCACAGCACACGAAGTACTGGGCTGTTGCCAGCCCTACCAGCTACTCCAAATACAAAGCTGGTTTGGAGTGTGGAGTTTGGAGTAGGGGAGATGTTCGCGGCCGAAACAGGCCGGGGGAAGTTGTTCGTGGTCGAAATGGTCTCGGATTTTGGAGTAGGCGACGGACGTTGGACAAACCAACTTCCTCCATTTGCGTTCGTCCCCTGGAACAATTAAATATATTTCGAGTAGTGAAATCGATTCCCTTTAAAACCAACAGGGAAAATAGACAAATATTCTTGACCAAATCCTGGTCCTAGGACGCTTTTAAATAGAGTCGGTGTGCCCCCAACTTCTTTTTTAATAGACGGTCTGATTTGCCTGATTTGCATGAGGGGGAACTCCTGTGGGAAAGACTTTGGCTTTGCATTCCCCCGCGCCTCGATCCAGAAGTCCGTAAGTGTGGTGTCCTCCTGCTCCTCCGCCCGGCCTCACGAAGAGACGAGGACAACGAGGCGAGCTATTGGGGCCCCTTGGGTGTGTGTGTGTGTGTCCAAATACTGTGGGTGGACGAAATCCTGCACCACCCAAGAAACCCTAAAATGATGATTCCCCTGTAAATACCAACAAAGAATGGCTTCCCAGGGTTTCAAAATAATGCAGGATTTGGTCCATCCACAGAAGGGATTCGGGCCACACACACTGGGGTTTCTCAACTTGGCTGTGGGTCAAAATTATGTGCCGAAAATGGCTTGCCCTGGAAAATGGATTCAAGCACAGCGGTCCCCTAGTGGTTTAATTTAGCCCCATGCCCACTTGGCTTCCTCTTAGTTTCCCATTTCATCAAGACAGCGTGCGTACCCTCCAAACAAGACCAAAGCGCGCGAAGAAGTGACCATTCTGAGATCTTCTTGGGGCAAATCCCATTGGCTTCCGTGCGCAAAAATATTTTGGGTGGCAATGAACAACTGGGGGCCAACACTAACAGAATGGTTGCTCTGTCAGGAGGATCTGCTGTCTGTTGCAAGAGCTCAAAGACAAACTTGACACATGCACAAGTGCCAACACCATGCGCAAATCCAGTCTTTCTGTGATAAGAAACAAAACAAACTAAAGGGCCTCCAAGCAAAAAACACAAGCTGCTGAAGGTCGCGACTCAAGCCATCTGTTCTCCAGGCAGTTTTCAAGCTACACCCTGGCAGAAACGGGAAACGGCAAACGACACATTAACACACATGGTGCCTCAAAAGAGGCAATTTGATTTTATTTTCCATTGGTCATCCATCATCCGTCTGCAACATTCACAAAAACATCGAAACCTGAAATATGAAATGGATCCAAGTAAAGAACCCCTCACATGCGCTCGTCAAATGTCCCCCCGCCAAATGCGCCAAATCGAACCATCCTAAGGGCTGGACGTGATGGTCTCAGGCGCTGGGGCTCAACTCGGGACGCAAGCAAGGCGAGGCTGTCGATGGCTGTCGGGTACATTTAAATGGGTTCCATGAAAAATCCTCAAAATAGTGTATTGAATTGAAACACACATCCAAGCACTGCCTGCTTAAGGGGATCTGTTCCCAAATCATCTACAGGTGATTTCGTGCCCCCCGAACGCTCAAAGGGAGCAAACCTTCTTAGGACGTTGAAAAAGCAAACGGGAAGTTCGACCCCGCGGAGCTCTGATCAGAGCGTGATTTGGCCGGACTCCGCGAGACCACGGCACTGGGCAGCACTTCAGATTTTTTTTTCCGGACGCGAAAGGGGGTGGCTCCCGTTGCAAGGACATGATCTATTTCAGGGAATTCTTCTGTGACTGGGGCAGGGGTGGGATACTTGGCTTGAGTGAGGTCCTGGGCTCCTGGGCTCCTGGCGTTTTGGCCCAAGGCCAACGAAGCAGCTGCGGGCGAGGAGCAAAAACGCTGCCAGGGGCAGCAGTGGCAGCCCCAGCCTGCTTGGCAACAGACACATGACCCGGGTCGGTCATATCAGACCAAACTGGTTGCTTTTTGTTTGGGTTTCCCTTTCCACCCAAGGGTACTAGGATACTGGTGCCAAAAAGAGACATCCAGCCACTTGATCTTCACATGCCCTACACTTTCTTGAACCCACCGGGCCCTCCCGAACCCTGCCTTCGCCGCGCAGTGCGAGCCATGGTCTTTACGAGCCAAAGCTACCATTTTGCGAGGGAACTGCGATTGCTTCTTGACACACAAACGCATCCCTGCTCATTCATGGGCACTTGCAAGCCGGCGGGCATCAAGCACCGGAAGTGACAAGTGGCACTCATAAAGGTGATTTTCGGGTCGAACGCGTTTCACCCCGTCACCCTAGCCCAGATTGTGACCGTCTTTTGCCGCATTTTTCCTCAGAGACGGGGTAAAAGACAGAGCCGGGCTCTGTCAAGAACTCCGGGTGCAAGGCCCGGCCGGCCGGAGGGAAAATCTCGATCTCGTTCGGCTCACCGCGGCACTCGAGCGATTGATCGGTCGCTCGGTCGCGGTGCCGAGTCGGGCCTTTGGGCTTCCCTCGCTGGGCAAGGGGATGCGGCCAGAGGTTTCGCGTCGATCCGGCGGATCGGAGCATGAAAATCCTTCTCCAAATTCAGATGAACCATTATTCTTTTTGGGCCACTCCATGTTTTCATCACTCTTGTTTTCTTGTCTGAAGTCCATAGTATGGTCTGAGGGCGGTTTGGTATCTCTGTGGGCCACTATCTTCACTGCCCATGGCTGTCCCAAGCGGACACCTCGTGGCTGATCGTGACTTAGATTCAGCCAGGCCGCGCGGTAGAGAGGTGCAGAGGCACCCCGTCTTCAGCGTAACAGTTGTGGTTGGCATCGCCTCAAAATTTCCGTGGCACGCTGGCCAGTGCTGAAGCAGTCGAACCTTCCTCAAAAAAACAATAAACAAAATCGCACATGGGAATGCAAGGGCAGTTTGCAGTCAAACCCTCAACCTCTATGATTCCTTCTCTTTTTCTTGCTTTTTTGGGGGCATGGAGTGCTATGTATACCTGTCATAGTCGCCCGCTTTGCAGCTTGATCATGGCAAATCTGGGGCAGAGCTCGGCCTCCAAACAAGGCAAATAAGCCATTCGTTCGCCTTCGCCTTGCTTCGCACATGCTTCGCACACCACGCTTGTACAAGGCTCAGATTTGATGTGCTCCTTGGCGCAATAAACCTGGCGAGCCACTTGGAGCGAGAAGCGGCGGTTGGATCGAAAGCCAATGCCTGCGCCTTCAGACGAAAATGCTCGGTCTTGGGCCTTGGCAACGTGCTCAGAAAAGGAATTCACCCACGACTGACTCTCTAGACGTTGCAAGAAGGCCATCTCGATAAGTGAAACACGGCGATTTTCCTTATTTGCAATATTGAGAGCATCTAACATTGGACCGTAGCACCTGGCCGTGCTATTCAACTTGTCAAGCTCAAAAACATAGTATGATACCTATTGATTTCATCGTCGCCAATAAGGAGTCGGGCAAACAATGGCAACGCCGAAGCCTGCACAGAAAGGTTTGGGAATATAGGAATATACAGCCCTGCGTTTTCTTCGCCAACATGGCAATCTACAATGAGACGTTCTACCTTTTCCTGCGCTCCAACCTTGGAACGGACCCACGACCTGTTGCCAACTGAGGCTGCCCGGCGACTGGACTTCTTGGCGAACTGCGCAGCCATTGGATCGCTGCAGGCCTGGGCCAACAAGTTTATCTGCAAACGATCCTGATTTTGTTGCATCTGGCCGGGCTCCAAACGGGTTCCAGCTTGCACAGGACAAACGTGAGTAGGATATAGTGGGATCCTACCGATGGGTTGGAGCTCGTTTAGGGCCGGCCAGCCAAGTCAAGACGTGTCTGGTGCATCTTCGGATTCCGACCCCGCTTTCGATTTAATATTGGGAAACCGAAAACAAACAAACAAACAAAACAATAACAAAACGCCGCCGCCCCATTTTAGGGCTTTTCCGATTCCCCTTTGCGAAATCCCGATTTCCCCATGTGCTCCAATGTCAGCTGGCTGCGTTTTTGGCCCCGGGCCATGCGGATTCGCTCCGGCGTCAGTGGCAGGTCCACCACAAAGTGACCAGACTGCCCGGCGTCCTGGCCGAACATCGGGTCGGCCCAGAAATCGGGTAGGCTTCAAGATGCGGGGCTCCCCCCCCAAAAAAAAAACAAACAAACGGATGAACTCGTTGGCTTCAATGGAAAACCAGATGTGGGGCTCCCCCCCAAAAAAAAACGGATGAACTCCTTGGCTTCAAGCAACACCAAATGTGGGGGGGCACCCCCAAAAAAGATCGATGGACAGTTGAACCGGTTTTCAATGGCTCAACCAATGCCACACCACTGGATCAGGCAGGCAAATGCGGAGTCAGTTCCCTGAACCAAGCCAGTGGATCCCTGCTACCCCCAAGAATTATAAACCCTTCGCCAGTTTGTGAGTTTTTGAAAGAATCCCCTAGTTTCCGAGCAAAAAACAAGTTGGGAAATGGGACTGGCACCTCCCAACCCCTTCCTTTTGGGGGCTGTTCCCTCCAAGAAATCAAAACTGACCCCACCCCCCGCATCCCTCCAAATTCACCAGTTCCGGGTTCGTCCGATTTTCAACCGCCCCGCTCCTCCCTGGCAGCTCCGATGGCCTTCCGCGCCTCGGAAGGCGACTTTCTCTCCGCCCATCCGCCGCCCATCCGCCCCGGGACCGGGCGAAACGGATCCGTCAGGGCGCCCAGGGCCCCGGCGGCGAAGAAGGCGCAGGAGCCCAAGAAGAAGGGAGGCTCACCCACGGCCTACGCGCGAGCCAAAAGCCCTCGAGTCGATTTTCGGGGATGAGATAGCCGAACCTCGGTGACTACTTTGATCGTGTTTAAAGATTGATTTATTTGTTTCCTCCGCGATAAGATAGCTGAACCCCGGTGAGTACTTTGATGGATTGAATAATTATTTTGTGGGTTTCACAGAGAGTGGTCCTAGAACCATTGCTTTCTGTAGCCATGGACAAAGCCGATTAGGAGCGCAGCGCGGCACGCATGCGACGGATGCATGCTGAGAGGCCGGCACGAGACGAATGGATCGCATTGGGATTCGCCGAATCCTGCCAAAGACGTTGCATTGGAAGTGTTGCCCATGGTCCAAGGGTGTGATGGTCCTTGACCAAGGTCACACGCATATCCACAGGCGTGTCGTTGAAGGACGGGATCCTTAGCCAGTCGAGCCAATCACATGTCCAAAGAGATACACAGGTGCGGACCTGAGCTTTCTACAAAGTGACCAGCATGCCTCAGAGCCTCTTCATTTCAGGATACGCTCCGCCAACCCAAATGCGTCTGCAATAGCAGCAGAAGAATGAACCTCCCCCAAACATGAAAAAACCATCCATATACCGCTTTTATTAGCGGCGCATACTTCCATGCCTTCAAAAAACATCATGCCTGGAAATGGGAATTTCTCTACACAGACCCCTTTTGGTAGGGATACATGGGATACAATGAAACCAACCCCCTAGGTTCTCCAGCAGAGAGGTTAGAATAAGGGTACCAACTTTTTTCTGTGTCTATATTAGTAGGGTCCCGAACCCTCCCCCAAAAAAGTTGGATTAAAAAAACAACAACAACGGGCGCTACTGGGGGACCTAGCTGGGTTAAGGAAGCCGTACCAACAGAGGGTCAACATGAGGAATCCACCCTCTGCCCGGCCCGGCGACTGGACTCACCCTGAAGAAGTCCCCCTGGGCGGCCCATGGTAAATACCTCCTTTGTAGCAGAGGGTCGACCTGATACCCGGAAAAACAGGAGGGTATTTGGAGTATTTGGAGTACGGGGGAACACCTCGGTCCTCGCCCTGGGTGCCCCTGCTTGTAGGTGCCGGGGCCGCGGGTGAAGCACACCCCAGGCTTCAGCCACGGGAACTCGCTGCAGCCCCACACCGTCTCCTCGACTCGTTGTCGAGTCGACGAGCTGATGGGACGAGTTGACGCTTTACTTCCTGAGCCTACAGACAGGCTGCATTGTTTTACAGTTATCAAAGCCACCCCCAAGTAGGTCAAAAGGACACCACCCGAGTTTCTCACTTTGATGACAGAAATGGTCAAAATAATGAACCCAGCCCTACAAATGCAAGACCCGGCTGTCTGGAGGTGTTGTGGGTGGGCCCTCATATCTTTTTAGGTCTCAGCCTAGGGTGAGTGGATTGGCCGAAAGCAAGTTGGACTCTTCTGCTTGCCGCTAGATGATTTAGGTCGGATCCTGGGTGAGTGGATGGCCGAAAGGAAGTCGGAACCTCTCCGGCCTGCCACTAAGATGACCTCCCGCAAAAAGTTGACCGTCCAACAATTGGGTAGCGCTGACATGAAACTCAAGGGTCAGACCCAGGCAGGTCCCACGACAGTGGAGGGTATATAAAATGGCATGATGCGGCATGGACAAACACAATGGAGGATGGCATTCTGAATCTGACATGATTTTGCTGGGAGTGAGCAGACATAAATCAAGGCTGACGAATGAGGCTCTTGAGCTAAAGCCCTGCATTGAATCCTAAAGGGAGTCCTCGGAATTTCCTTTGCCAAGCTTCGTTATTGGACACAGCCGGGTGTTTCTGAAAATTAGGGACCCCAACAGGTCTTTGGTCGCCCTTTCTTATCACTCCAACAGGAGATCCCCACCTCCTTCTCCACTCTCGTCTCTACGGATGTCAGTAGCTTTCTGAGACATCTGGCAAATCCAAGATCTCCATGGCAACCTGGCTCTGCTTGCCTGCTGGAAGGCAACGTAAATCAAACATTGCTTGACCCCTACAAATGGGGTCTCTTTGGCTGCTCCTGAACACCAGATATATTCAGCAGCTGGATTTTGCTGTGGAAGCTTCTAGCTTGGAAAACCAAACAAAAGGCCAAGCCAATTTGCGACTGGATCTCTCATGGCTTTCGCCTAGCACCACCGGCTTTTCGCACCTACAGCTCGAACAGAACTCGTGTCTTCCGAGGGTACCCTTTTCAGGTTGGGTTCGGGAAACCGAAAGCTTGGTCGCAGTAACGCCTCCCTCAGGGAAAAAGCTTAACTTGTGGGTCCAAGGCGGAAAATCCACCGTTTTCAACCCAAAGGTCAAACAAAAGAAAAGAGATCCAACCAAATAGCCGCAAAGAAACTTACGGGTGCGCAGTAAAGAATGAGGTTG